GGATGTTATAATATTTATAAGGATTTAGAATCCGTTTCTAAACAACCCAACAATCAAACTATTTGGTCCTTTATTATTTATATAATTATGAAAAAAAAGGGGGGGGGATTTTTTGTATGTAACGTGTGTTGTATATGAAGACATATTTGACGAATACTACGTGACTACACACGACCACAAATATTTCCTCATTGTAAAACAGGCTGTTCAACCAACGGCCCGTGGGCCACATGCACCTATGACGGGACATATCGGCCACTGGATCTTACCGGAACTTTATAAAAGTTCTCGTAAAAGATACAATTTTCATTGATTATCTGTAAAAGCCTTTGAAAACATCTCCAAATATTAGCTTAAGGACACACATTAGATGTAAGCTTAAGGACACACATTAGATGTGAGCTTAAGGACACACATTAGATGTGAGCTTAAGGACACACATTAGGATTATATTCTAATTTATGAGAATTTTTTCCAATTATTATTCTCTAGATTGCTAAAAAAAAATTACGTAATGCGACCCGATACAAAAAAAAATCATACGGCATCTTAGCACAAAAATGGTTGCCCCACCAGGATGCCATGATTTGTGGTCTGCAAAGTAACGTCTCCACAAATCTCTTCCATTTGTTAATGACGTCATTGGGGGTTAGCGATGTCAATGACACTGGACTACTGTTGCCAACATAATCTTTATACTATGTAGGTCACACAAGTGGCGTCTACACAGAGGGGGGGGGGTGCGTATAGACCCATGGGTCACAGTAAATGCTACCAGACATTGATTTCAATATTCTGAGCATCGTGAAAGATTCACGAGCGGTTCAAACTGAGGGGAGTGACAAGATAATTTGCATGCACGCTAATATATCATAAATATAGCGAACGCACAAAGCTCTCTCACTTGAGATTATATCCATACTTTAGTAAACGGGTGGTGTAACAATTTAACGTTAAAATTATGGTGGATGGAAAGATTCTCGACCAGCAAAGGGTTGATGCTTCAAGAAACAAAAAATTGTTAATGTTAAGGTGATTGGTCAGACATGTAATTACATTGTATGTATTCTTTGTTCGTTTTAGTTTGGCGAGCTTTGAATCTTTGTGTGTATGTGTATCTTTGTGTGTATGTGTAGCTTTGTGTGCATGTGTACGTTTGTGTGTATGTGCGTCATCGTGTGCGTATGCGTATATTGATTTAGGGTGTTTGTTTGTCTGTGTGCATTAAATTAAAAGTAGTTAGGGTTGCCCATTAAACGTAACACCGCATCTATTCTAATAACTGCGCCCTAAAATAAAGTCATTAATACAACATCCATATATTTACATGCATTGGACGAGTCGTGAATTGTATGGAACGGAAAACCCCGCCTATCAAAGACAAAATAAAGTTTGGTCAGACATGTGTGTAAAATGTGCCCTCGGGAATTTGTCGTTGGTATGCTGAATAATTAAGATACCTTCACACAGGACACTATTTTACATTTTAAAAAAAAAATGAAATTCACAAGGAAATGAACCACTAAGATGTTTCTAAACTATGCTTTGAAAACTTTATGAATCTATCTTTACTATCTGTTTATATATATATATTTATTTATTTATTTTTAAGATTTTATGCTTTATGAGAAATTGAAAATTAGAAGAAAGTGTCCTTCAATTGTGTGTACTCTAAAAAGGAGTGAAAACTCCTCAAGACATATAAATATCTGAATTATATCTTATTTTAGATATAGTTTTCATATGTTTTAACTGTGGGGGTCATGGGCGTCGCGCAGCCCCCAAACCAGACACTGCCAAGTGTGAGCGGTAACGCCCTACAGGGAGCACACCAGATGTCGTCTGCAATAGATACCAATATCCTGCAGCAGTACGTCCACCTTTACGCTCTGGTCAACGTGAATGCGGTTTTGGGCGTGTTGGGCTCCGTCGCCAACATCATCAATATCGTAGTTTTCATCAAACAGGTAAATGTTACAAGTTACACACAGCCACCAACATCGTCAAATATCAAAGTTTTCATCAATTTGATAACTGTCACATACAGTCGTCAACATCGCCAGTCTCGTAGTTTTTTCATCAAAGAGATAACTGTTAAAAGCAGTCATTAATAACATCAGTGTTGTAGTTTTTATGCCAACATATAAATTAAACGCTCAAGAGACTGTTATGGGTATTACCGGTAAATTGATTTTTAGTTTAATCATCCGAGGAATTTTTCGTGTTTTTAATCAGAGAAACCTATAGCATAAAATAATCATAAAATAAAAATGCCATTTATTTTTATGTCACAATTAAATTGGGTCCGATTTTTGCATTAAAAAAATTGTTATGAGCAAGTTCTGAATATCTTGGCTCAATTATTATGATCTTTTTGCAATAGATTTCTCTCTCCCATTTAGCCAGGAGCTATCTCTTATTTTCATATCGTTCATACCCTTAGTTTAATAACGTTGTGATTTCCACTATTTTAAAATATTTTCTCATGTGACCCAGTGAAACATAAATTAATTGATTATGTAAATTAAAGCCTTATTTAAGCAATAGAGAAATGAGGCCCCCCTCCCCCCCTCCCCCGATGCATCAAGACCGTCGCTAGGTGTTATCATCAGCAAATAGTTATGTAAAGTACCTTTAGGCTGTACACACGGGTGTTATTGGAATAATTATTTAGCATATTGCGCAACATTATGACGTTATTTTCAAGTCTTGCGCGTGCACATAAGCCTGTTTGTTTAATTATACGCTTTTTTTTTGTTGTTAATAGAGTGACTTGTAAATTCTAACTTTAAGGTGCCAAGCAACCTGGCCATGGGGGGGGGGGGTGGGAGAAGGTGGGGGGTGGGGGGGGCTAAAAGTCCTTAATCTTTACCTGCATTATCGTCTGTTCTGCATGAAACAGGGCGGTGCAATTGATTTTTAAACATGTTTCACTGCTTGAATTTCAGGGGTTCGCTACATCGTTTAACATGAGCTTGTTGGTGCTGGCCGGGGCCGACCTGGGGAGTCTGCTGTCTCTCGTTGTACAGAGCCTCTACTTCAGCCACTTCTTGCGTCACTACGATTTCTCGTTTCTCTCTAGTGACGTCGTTTATCTGACGGCTGGTAAGAACCGCAGACATTACCAGTAGGACACTAGACCATATTGAGCAGTGATTCTCAACCTTTCTAATGCCGCGACCCTTTAATACAGCTCCTCGTGTTGTGGTGAACCCCAACCATAAATTTTTTTTCGCTGCTGCTTAATCAATATGTGTTTTCCGATGGTCTTAAGCGACTCCGGTTTAAGAGTCATTCAACACCATTAGGAATCGCGACCCACGGTTTGAGAACCGTGATATACATCAGTACATACAATTATATTAATTAAGCAAATGTTCACTTGATGCCTGATAAGGACCGCGGACACCACTGTAGTAGGACAGTAGACCATGCATAGTAATTAATGCAATTATTTTAATTTAACAAATGTTTAGTAACCAGCTAAACATATTATTTGTTTAGATTTTGAAGTAATAAGTTCATACCATTGGGGGCGGGGGAGGGTACAATAAATTCCGTCATAACATTTAAAAGAAAAAGAGAGTATTGATATACACGCATGATAATCATAAATCATGATAGGCAAGACAATTCTCTGTCTAAATTTTAAATAGTCGGATCTAATTCGATAACCATGTAACTCTATTTAATATACATAAAATTAACCAAATTATCATGATCATGTGGCCCCCATCCCATCTCTCTAGCACACATCATTTTAGAGCAGCGATTCTCAACCGTCCTAATGCCGAGACCCATTAATACAGCTACACATGTTGTGGTGACCACCAGATATAAAATTATGTTCGTTGCTACTTCATAAACATGTGTTTTCCGATGTTCTTAGGCGACCCCTGTGCAAGGGTCGTTCGACCCACCAAAGGAATGGCAACCCACAGGCCAATACCTCACAGTTGGTGCAACAAAAACCCTAGTCTGTGCTCTAGTTCTCTCTCGCCTTGACTGTTGTAACTCTCCTCTATCAGGTTCACCAAAACACTTCTTAGAAAAATTACAAGAGGTTCAAAACTCTGCCGCTAGGCTAATTCTAAAGGAAAAAAAAAAAAAAAAAAAAAAAAAACGTGATCACGTCACACCACTACGTCATTCACTTAATTGACTCCCTGTACAAGCACGGATTGACTACAAACTCTCTGTTCCCGGCCATAACTTTTTCTCGAATTCCTTCCCTTCCTATCTAACCGAACTTCTCTCTGTCTATTCACCCCTTCGACAGCTTCGCTCCTCCGCAGACGACCGCATTCCTTCTGTTTCCAAGACTCGCACAAAAACATACGGTGAACGATCGTTCTCTTTCTGTGCCACTAAACAATGGAATTCTCTTCCATTACACATCCGCAAAATACCGACCATCACAGCCTTCAAAATTGCACTCAAAACACATCTTTTTAAACTCTGCTATCCTGACTGATTCCCACCTCTGACCGAAAAACGATGCTGCTGGGTGTCGTATATGGCTTGACATGTAAATAGTTGTAAATATACATTTGCTTTGTTTTATTTAATTAATTAATGTTAATTTTTTTTAAAGTTTTTGATTTTGTTTGTTAAATTGTATGTACAGCGTGGGTAGCCCAGCCTTAGGCTGAGGTACCACGCTAGATAAAACAATTTATAATAATAAGTACCGCTGCTCTAACACGCAACGTTTTAGCGTATCCCTAGCTGTTTGATTAATATCCACAGACCATCTTCCACCTCTCAGTAAACCTTGTTCTTAAGAATGCAGAGTCCATTAGCCTAGCATGGTCTAGCCAGCGAAAACTCTTCTTGCTTGAGATTGAAGAACATTCTCCACAATTTTAAAATATGTATAATTTTTATATGTAATCCATTTTTTTCATTTAAATCTAAACTTAGCACTTGTTTTATGAAATTTTCGTTCTATCTCAGTATCTTTGCCGTCCTTTTATTTTTCAGCAGTCTTCAGGGGAAGTTTCGTGCGAATCGCGTGGTGGATCACGACCCTCATATCTTTCGAGAGATGCCTGTGCATCGCCATGCCGCTCAAAGTCAAACAAATCGTCACGCCAAGGAGCACGACCTGCGTGTTACTTTTAATGGTGTTCATCCCCCTCACGGGCATGTACCCGGTCCTCATAGGACGGCGCATCGGGGACGTGTCCGTCAAGAACGTCACCGTTACCGGATTTTACTACGCCGAGAACGGTCAGTTCCTCAACAAAGTTAGCGAGATCTTCAGTGTCGTCATGCAGTTCAGTTCCTACATCATCAACGCCATCTGCGCCGCCGTCATCATAATCCAGCTAAATATAGACTCAAAATGGCGGAATCAGTCGTCGAGCTCTGGCAAGCTCGTGAATGCCAGAGTGTCTCGCGACAAAAGGATCACGAAGATGGTGGCCTTCATTTCGTCCTTGTTTATCCTCTGTTCCCTGGCGAGCTGCATCAGTTACATCCTGGTCGTGTCCCATGTCCCCGGATACAGTAACAAATTCACGGACACGACCTACCTCGCCGTGCGGGAATTTACGATATCGCTGGAGGCCATCAACAGCTCGGGAAACAATCTCGTCTACTACGCCATGAGCTCAAAATACAGATCTGTTTTTAATCAACTATTTTGCGGGAATTTACGATATCGCTGGAGGCCATCAACAGCTCGGGCAACAATCTCGTCTACTACGCCATGAGCTCAAAATACAGATCTGTTTTTAATCAACTATTTTGTGGGAATTTACGATATCGCTGGAGACCATCAACAGCTTAAGTCTACGTACGTATCTCCGATGACGGGTCTTGTTAAAGTCCTCCTTGGCTTCGAGGCATTATAATAATAATAATAAAGTTCATTTTAAAAAAAACACGCTTCATCCCCAAAGGCTCGAAGCGCGGTACAAAGTCAACAAAAAACAAATCTATAATTTACCAAATTTAAAACAAACGCAACACTGCAAAAACTAATTACAAGCATACAATGTCAAAGTCTTTCAACCCATTTCAACCGTGAGCAACACAGCCAATATGCATTAAATGGAAAATATGGTAGACAATCATCCCAGAAAGTGTTTGCGAAATAAATGTGTCTTTAAATCGGTTTTAAAGGACTCCAGTGTCTGGATGTTTCTGAGATTGAGTGGAAGGGCGTTCCAAATTGTTGGACCAGCAAATGCGAAAGTGCGCTTTCCGCAAGTCTCAAGGCGAACACGTGGTGTCAAGAGTTTGCCACTGTCGGCATTATGAGCCTTATGTATCAAGTATAGATACGTTTGGCACACTACACAAGTGGCACTTGTGAATTAAATCAAATTAGACAAGTGGCATTTATTAATTACATCAAACTATGCAAGTGGCTTTTGTTAGTAACATCAAACTAGACAAGTGGCATTTGTGAATTACATCAAAGTAGACAAGTGGAACTTATTGAATTACATTAAAGTGGACAAGTGGCACAAGGAAATAATGTCAAACTAGACAAGTGGAACTTGTGACAAGTGGCAGTATGAATTACATCAAGCGAGACAAGTGGCCCCGGTGAATTTCTTCAAGTATTTCATCATCAGCGTTTTAATTTCCAAATACTGATTTAAAATCAACATGCAATCGATACTGTGAACCGATACCTTTGGGATTTTTTTTGGGGATTTGACAACTTTTCTGAATACACTAGAAAGTCCAGCCATCAAATGAACACGGAGGACTGATTGTTTTCTACACCTGGATCTATTGAGTAGAAAAATTAACATTCATGTCATTTATTTATATCCATTATGAAATTTTCTTGTATATTTTTTTTATATGCAGTACATTAGTCAGGTGCATAAAATAATGCTTACTCGCAAACTTACAAACATTTAACTCAATTCTTCTAAGATCATAAAGAGTAGAAAGACCCAAACATATAATGTTATACCATCAGCAGCATATTAAATATGTCTCTCTCCACGGTCAAGATGAAAGCGACACACGAGAGACGTACTTAGCAGAAATTTGTTGATGAGAATTTGATGGTTAAAGAACAAGGTACGGTGTTTAAATCTAAAACCAAAACAGTAATATATAACATTGTATTTTTTTCCTCTCGCTTTTCTAGCAGCAAAAAGTAAGAGACATTATCGTGTCATCTTTTACTTGCTGTTTTACAGGCTGTGAGGAAAGGTTTTTTGGTCAGCAAGGAGTTAATAGTAAATCTGGGGTGATTAACTCTTAAAGACTTTTAGGTTGTTTTCGTCATATTTTTTTTTTATTCTCTATTATAACTGAGAACTGAGAGATGCAAAATTCGTATGTGAATAAAATTCAGAGCGGTATAACTAACCAATTGTATTTCTTCTTCTTCTATATTTTGAGGGCCCACGATCAAATGTATTGGTCCTACTGGCTCCTATGTTTGTAGACGGAGTTCGCGGTGTAACTGTGCATGGTTTTGAAGGGGGGGGGGTTCTTTGGGGGGGGGGGGGGGTAGACGGGGGGGTGGGGGGGGGGGGGGGGGGGGGGGGGGGGCGAGACAATAGACGCAAATGTGTCCAGTGTCGTCGCCTCAGCTGCAGCTTTTTGGAAGCTTGTTATAGTCCCTGGTTGTCTTTGGCAGGAATGAGCAGTTCCTGTATTTTGTTCTTGCTTTTATGAGCCGGAACTGCTGAGAAATTCTGTGCAAATAGGAAGCCCGTCCTGTCTTACGCATTCCTGTTTCGGCAAGGTTAGCAGCAACAGCAATACAAAAAAAAAAATATTGTATTGCTCTCAATAAAAAATTAGTGTTAATGCAAACCGGGGTGAGTCATGATTTTTTTCACCCCTTCCACGAAAAAAACAAATGACATCCGAATAGCTTGAGTCTAATGGGACCCGGGTCCGAATAGCGGCGAAAGGTTTCCGTTTCCATTTTGACTAAATGCTATTCGGATGTCATTTGTGGTCGTTTATTTTAGTTAAACTGAAGAAATAAGTTTACAAACGTATAGTCCATTCAATTATCTTTCATTTGATACCAAATTTTGTCTTACAAACAATACAATAATTTTTAAATATTTTATTCAATAAACCCAAACTCTCAACGGGTCCGAATAGCCGCATCCGTCTACTATATCTATAGAAATTTGAAAACTTTTCAGAAGCTTGTGTCTTACTTATTGTTAAAACTGTGTCTATCTTCACGTGTCTGGTGAATATTTATGACAATAAGTAAAATTTCATGAGGAAACGTTGGTCGGGCGCCAAAAAAAAATATATTTTTGTTTTTTTAAATTTAAAACATGTGTGGGGGGGGGGGGGTTGCGTTTGATGTTTTTTAAACACCCGATTAGCCCAGCGGTTCTCAACCTGCGGGTCGCGACCCCTTCGGGGGGTCGCACGATCCTTTCCCAGGGGTCGCCTAAGACCATCGGAAAACACATATACTCTACAGTTATGAAGTAGCAACGAAACTAATTGTGTGGTTGGGGGTCGCCACAACACGAGGAACTGTACTAAAGGGTCGTGGCATTAGAAAGGTTGAGAATCACTGCATTAGCCACTTGTCTCACTTTCATAAGTTAGTACTAAAGAGCCCTAAATTGCTTGTCATAACAAAGTTTGTCAAACATATTGTTTAAAGAATACGGGGAAGAATTTACCACGACTTGTGAAAACAAAAGATTCGAGCGATCACAAGTTAACAAAACACCGGTTCAAAAAATAAAGAGTGTTTACTAACTGTTTACCAATTATTATTCTCTTATAATTATGTATCTCTTGACAACAAGACCGGTGTTCCCTACAATTAGCTGACATTATATTTATATTCCTATTTGTTGTGGGTTTTTTTTTTTTTAATTTTTGAGAAACCTGCTTTGATCAATATTTGTAATTGTTCTCAAGTTTGACTTCAAACTGTTACAAAGCTCTGGAATAAAAACCTAACAGATGAACGGGTCTACCCGTAAATTAGCGTTATGATTACACGCTGGGCATGACGTCATGGCGTTACATTGTTTAGCTTATCTTAAGTTATTTGTCTAAATTATATATTTTTNAAAGAAAAGAATTTAAAAAAAAAAAAAAACAACAAACAAACAAACAAACCAACAAACAAACACTTTACACGTTTCTTTGTTTAGATACCGAATTAATTATTTTTTATTTTATTTTTATTTTTTTTTAACGTTAAAGTAATATTTGACTTGGTAGAATTAACTTTGGCTTTTACAACATTCGATTACCGGTAAACGCATTGAAATCTGCAAGTGAAAATATAGCGTTAACTGATATTAATTTATTATTATTATTTTTGTACAATTTTGTGGCATTTATTGGTCATGAGAAGATCTTACGTGATGAATGACAATTAAAGGACAGAGAAATGCGTTGTGATGTCAGCTTATTAAATTTACAACTGGGAAACATCGAAGCGGGAAATTGACATCAAATCGAAGAGTAAGTTGTGACCGTGGACAATATAATAATATAACTTAACATTGATCTCATGTGTAATACATGACCACAGAGTCAAGCATTTTGATGCAAGTGATTGACTCGGGATTAGTCCTATTTTAAGTCCTTTTGGTTAGTTCAGAGAACTGCTTGGATTCGGTGAGACCATGCCTAACCGCATACGATCTATAGGACAAGACTAAATTCGACTTATGACATAATCCGTTGTCCCGTGACAGGGTTAGATGTCTTCCGCGCAGATTCAGATTTTCTTTTTATTCAGATTCTCCTAATAAAGGGACACTTGGGCTTTCGTGTTTTTTGTTTCGTTTTGTTGTGTTTAATTTAGAGTGACTTTAGACTGGAAGCTAGAAGTTCATTAATGATTTACTGAGTTATTTTTAATGTAATCTTTAGATTTTACAAGCCAATATACCGGGCTTTCCTCGGTCGTGCATTTGAGAGGGGAAAAAAATGAAGTGTTTTCAGCATGCCTTGAAAAAAAAGAGACTATATTTTTTTCCTATAAAAAGCCAGCTTTATAATAGCTCTTGCACACCTTGAATTTTTGGAAAATCCAGTTTTCTTACGTCTCAAGCTAGGAACAGAACAAAACCCATGATTTAAAGTCAAATCTCACTTTTAGAATCTGTCTTATTTTTGTTTTTTAATGTTATTCAGCAATGCTAAATGCATAGTCATTTATCGGGTAAAATAAAATAGGATCGTCACTCTAAAGGTGATCAGAGCCAAACGCTCACTGAACACTGATTTCACCACTGACAACCCCATCAACAATTACACCCGAAAAAACAGCAAATGCTTAACCGTGCCTCGGTGTGTAACACAGTGCAGTATACATTACAAACAATCATTCTTCCCACGCACAATAATCGCTTGGAACCACCTGGACAATGCCGCTGTGGCCTCGACGTCGGTCGAAAGCTTCAAGGCTGCCCTGGCATCTGCTAGGAGCTGTTAGAATAGCAACATCGCTCCCCAACCGATGCAAAGATGCCAGTATATGGATGCAGCAACGAACACTACCAGTACCAGAAAGGGGACTCAATACAGTGGCACTATAAAAAATAATTTAGATAATCATTGCTTGTCATTTTATTTATATAGCCGCTATGAGAAAAAAACAAAGCAAATAGTGACCCCCATCCCCGAACGGGATATTTTAACAAAAAATTATTCAAACCCCGTCAGGATTTCTTACTGAGTAATGGAGTGAAATAATTATTTATCCAAAAATTAAACAAGATCCATTAGTCTATATAGAAACTATGCGGCACAAACAGACATATTTTTTCTTGTTCTAGTATATACTTTTTTTTTTTTTTTTACCAGAAAGATACAAAGATAACCATGGTTTTTTTTTAATTTAAGAACTAATAAAACCTATAAATAACAAAAATAAAAAAGAAAAAAAACAATAATTATTTATCCAAAAATTAAACAAGATCCATTAGTCTATATAGAAACTATGTGGCACAAACAGACATATTTTTTCTTGTTCTAGTATATACTTTTTTTTTTTTTTTTTACCAGAAAGATACATAGATGACCATGGTTTTTTTTTAATTTAAGATATAATAACACCTATAGATAACAAAAATACAAAAGTAATAAAACTTTGTACATAAAACATTTCCACGTAAATATCATATAAGGGAACATCAAATAGCAACTCTAGATATGGGTAATGCACCTATATTGTGTGCGTAGAATATCATTGTGATAAAATGTCCCTCACTGACCTATCGCTGAAAGAGAACGCTGGCAAAAAAATGCAATTTTAATATGCCTTTTTTTTTTTTTACAGGGATGGGCGTAGAACACCTAGAGTTATAATTAACACAACAAGCAGTGTAAGACCTAGAGTTATAATTAACACTACAAGCAGTGTAAGAAGTAAACTTGACAAAACATAAACAGAAGAGGATGACAGCTGCTGTCAACAGCCTACAGCTTGCTGGAACGGTCTACGGCTTGGTCTGTGTGAACGCCGTCGTTGGAGTATTGGGCGCTTTGGCGAATATCGTTAATATCATCGTATTCGCTAAACAGGTGACTATAGCCTACTTGTACGTGTGATGTGGGAGGAAAAAAATCTTAATTTCTTTTCATTTAATTACGTTTTTTTCGGTCCATAATTCAAGTGACGATGTTGTCACATTAATCAGACTTATTTAGACAGACATTGTCTTTACCCGAAGGATCTTTTTCTTTTTTTTAATAATTCAATAATAGACACACACACCCTCTCCCACATTTTTTAAAATAAAAATCCCACACAAAAAAAACTATTGGACTAATTTTGTTGGCTGCGTGAGTGATAGCAAATAATCTTTTAAACAATTACACCAACACTATGTTCAGTTATGATGGCTTTTTAATTTTACAAAACTTACTCTGCTTTGTGTACAGTGATTAGTTGCTTATATAAAAGTATGTAACAGTAAGATAACGTAATTGATATCTTTTTTTTTTCTTTCAGAGTTTTAACTCTTCCGTTAACGTTAATTTGCTTTGTCTGTCCATAGCAGACTTTGGAAGTCTGGCCAGTCTGTCCTGGAAAAGTCTTAGTTACATACATGTGCTCCTGTCCTGGGACCTCTCCTACCTGGGCACTGACGTCATCTATGTGTTAGCTGGTAAGTTTGTATTTCTTGCAGACATGTATCTGATGGCGTGCCTTGGTGGGGGGGGGGAGGGGGGAGACGGATACGACCTCCCCACGAGTCATTTTTAATAATGTTTTTTACCAACATTTAAAATAAACGTGTGTTTGCTGGGATTCTTTTATTTGGGGGGGGGGGGCGCATCTTTTGGGGTTTTCCCGGGGGGGCATTTAGTTTTAGATACGCCACTGAACCTATGAACTGGTACGTTATTTCATGAATTTTTTTTTTTAGTAAAATTTTTTACGTGCTTCATTGAAATTTCAATTTACAATTTTATTTATCTTTGTGTTGGATCATCTAGCAGTCAGCCGTGGAACTTTCACGCGAATCGCATGGTGGATCACCACGCTCATCACCTTCGAGAGATGCCTGTGCATCGCCATGCCACTCAAGATAAAGCACATCGTCACTCCCCGGTCCTCTACCCTCGCCCTGTGTCTCATTCTCTTGGTCGCACTGGCGGGCGTGTCCCCGTTTCTCATCGCGAGACGCATCGGGGACGTGTCGACCGGCAACAGTACCGCAGTGGGGTTTTATTACGCCGAGAACGGCCCGTACCTTGAAAGCATCAGCACGACGTACAGTGTCGTGGCCCAGCTCGGATCTTACATTTTGAACGCAGCCTGCACCGGGGTCATCATCCTTCAGCTACGCGTGAAATCAACGTGGCGGAAGGGCTGCGGGCTGGCGGTTGGCTTGAACCACGCCCGGGAACTGCGGGATAAGCGGATCGCGAAAATGATTTCTTCGATATCATCGCTGTTCATCGTCTGCTCCTTCGCCAATTGTGTCAGTTTAGTTTTGGTGATCGCCAAGGTCCCCGGCTACAGTGATGCGTTCGCGAGTCCGACTTTCCTTGCGGTGCAGGAGGCGACGATCACGCTCGAGGCCGTCAGCAGTTCTGTGACGAACCTTGTGTATTACTCCATGAGTTCAAAGTACAGAGAAACATTTGATGAAACGTTTCTCCACAAAACTGAAAGTCGCCACACGGTTGGAGTGGTTCCTAGATGCTCAGGTGTTTGAAAATGAGTTGCTACTTTCAATTTACAAAGCTTGATGAGGACGACAAAGCAATTTTATACCAATAGAAAAAAATTGAAACATTTCGTTACTTTTATTTTATTCTTTTAAATTATATATATATATATTTATATATTTATATATATATATATATATATATGTGTGTGTGTGTATGTGTGTTACAGTTTATATGGTTAGCCCTGGTCGGTTTTTTAAAACAATGTATTTATGAAAAAGGATGCTTTTTTAAATATTTATATAAATTATACCATATACAAAATACAATAATAATATATTATTCATACGACATCAAATTATGATAAACAGAGTAGTATATATATATATATATATATGTGTGTGTGTGCGTGTGTGTATGTAACGAGTCCCATCCATCCGGGGTTCGTGGGATGTTGGCTTTGGTGGGGATTGAACTCCAGACCACCAGCTTGAGACAGGTCAGGCCGCTCGGCCCCCCATCATTGACTTGTCCGTCAATGTCGGTAAGATCTTTGGGGTGGCGGTAAAAAAAAATAATTGAAACGTACACATTTATTAATGCGAACACCAAAGGAATATCTCAAAATTTGTGATTTTATTTTCTTACTTTCGTGAACTTTGTGGGATCATAACGAGGAGAGATTCAACACGTTCAGAGTTCTATCCAAAAATAACGTCATAAGATAGACTCAACCATGAGTCATACATACATTGCTATAGAATCATAATTTATATTATGGATACGTGAATATAGCAATAGCTTAGGAATTTATTTTAAATATATGTCTTAAAAATAGTTCTCGTCGGTAAAAAAAAAAAGTGTGGAGAGTTAGAATATGTTTCCGTAAATGCTATTTTTTTTTGTTTTTTTTACTTGGCAACTAGTCTTGGGATAGGCCGTGAGAAGTGCTGATTCACGCGATCTAGACGGTTCGCACTTACTTACATAACTGAAGATCTTGAGAGAAATGAGTACAGTACAAACAGAAATTACATAAAAACTGGCAGAATCCTTTCCAACTACTGCGATTGCGCATAAAAAATAATGTTGACATTGCAAAAGAAGTTTTTCGAAATTATCCTCGTCATTTGAACAAGACACTGTTACCACCTTTGGTGATAAGGAACTCTCACATATTTTTTTTTTATTTAGTTAGCTGCCCGATGGCTGCCTGCATTTTTGTGTGTGTGTTGTTGTTGTTGTTTTTTTTTTTGTTTTGTTTTTTTTACATTATTCAGTCTCTTTAAGAGCGTTTAGCTGATTCAGCTTAGGGTGTTTTCGGAATTTGATTTTGACAGCTACGACAAGAGCAACAACTGAGCCGCGGTAAGTGTTACGCGTCAAGGGAAATTCAACCGCAGCGGTGGAAACAAAAGTTGGAAATTTCGGAAACTAAACGAGTGAACAAATGAACGACACTGTGTGACTCATTGTGACCAATATGTCTATGGTGTTTTTTAATATCACATCGACCGCGGTTTGTAGCGTCAAAGGCCCAGCGAAATTTAACTTGCCCAAGGCCACCCAACCCCCCACCCCTGGCGCTGGTCATGATATATTATATCATAGATATATGGGACTCGTTAACACTGGATGGCAACTCATCTAAAAGGAGGAAAACTCTGAAATCAAACTCAGGAGGTGGAGTCTAGGCCCGCAGGCTTTATGACATTGACACAATGAAAATTCCGACAAGTCCTGCTCAGTGGGACACACAAAGAGCACAGTGAAACACATACGCCCGGCTGGTCATCTACTGCATCCTGGTCTATTTCCTGTCGTATTGACTAAGTCTTGCCATTTGATCAAATAGGCAAGGAGTAGCGAATGAGGCTGACAAATTGAGCAACTCTCTTTCTCACTTTAAAAAAAAAAAAAATACAGCTTAAGTCAAGGCCACTTCTCAAGTAAAAAATTGCCTTCGTTTAACTCGCGTGTGGAAGACGAACAAATTTATTTATATATATATATATAGATATATATATAATATGAACGCATTTCTGAACGCATTATTTTGTTTTAATATATAGTAAAGTGCGTTCAAAAAGAATTTTGACGTAAAATTTCAACCTGTGGACTGAAAAAAAAGATTCGACTAAATTTCCGTTGGCTAAATTTTCCGTCGATCAATTTTCCGTCGACGAAATTTCTTTCAAACGAATTTCTGGTAACCTTATTAGTAGGACTATTCACTCGACTTATGCACCTTTCAAATTCAGAGTAGACTATTCTTAATGTTCGTACATGATGAATTGATGATCACATTTTTTCGCTGAATAACATTCAAATTTGTATTATATATTTTAAAAAGAAAGCATCAATTTAAAGTATGAAAGAGGCAATTTTCAATATATTGTGTACAGATAATAAAATAACAGCAGTCTGTAAATAATGATTAAAAACAGCGTAGACTGTAGAGCCACAAATGAGGTGGCGCTCTATATACTACCATACTCTACAAACAATTAATTCGCATTTTCATATTTTTAAGGACATGAATTTCTAGGGAAATTCTAAAGATGATAGAAGAGTAAAATTTTTGGATCATCAAATGAACCGAATTTGTGTGATGGAATTACTTTATTATCGGTCATAAAGCAAATGGAAAAGCTATTACGAAAAAAATATTCTTAAGGTAAAAGTTTAGATTTTAAAAGTCTGCATGAAAGGAACCCTAACTTCTAGTATTTTATCTGATATTCAGTCAAAAGATATAGAGGAAGTGGGTTATGAATTAAGATTCAAAGATTTTAAAACATTAAACAGTTTAACAGTAGGACTATCTAAAACTCAAATGATACACCACATAAAAGGGACTTGACAATAGGCCAAAATCATTTTATCAACAAAGAAAAAGCGGTTGGTTTCCAAAACATTATTAGGCTATTTGTTACCAAGAAATAATGACGTAAGTTGGCCGCAATATTTTTTTTTCGGCTAACTGACAAACAGAGGGTAATTTTCCAAAATTTCGTTGATTAAGTTCTTCACTGAAATACTTCGATGAAGGTTCACACATATTTCATAATGTATAAGTTTCAAAAAAATATTCAAATTTTGAACTTCTTACCAAAGAATTAACAATAATTCTTTCTGTTAAAATTCTTCAGGGGATCCAAGTCCATGAAAAGGGTTTTAAAAAGGGAATGTAGTTAGGGTAATGGGGGATGCAAATTAGAATTCATCTATGAGTGACATTTTAAAAGAGAGACAGCTAATATAATGGACCCAATCTTTAATTTAAAGTTTTCTTTTTAAATCATCCGTTTAACGCATAGGCCTCCGCCGTATTTTTTTTTCTATTCCAAAAACTGGATGCCAATTAATTATTTTTTAAGTTCGCTTTTAGGTAGTTGTGTTGATTTTTTTTCTAATAAAAAAGAAAATAATTAAGTAATTTCACATTTTTTTATGGGTGGGGTACACCTTATTGACCATTTTTAGGTACCCCATTTTTATATACTGTGAGTGCCCATGGACGCCACGGTTAAATTTACGTACGTTTCTTGATATTTAAAAAAAAAAGAAGGAAAAAAAAAAAAAAAAAAAAAAAATCTAGTATTACATACTTTATTCTGCATTAAAATCTGATTCCCCTTTTTTATAATTCCTATCTCAAGGGGGACTACTACAAATAAATTTTGTAATGAAAAACTTGATTTCAAAGATGGCGGGGACCAAAATAGAAAGGCATGCAATGTTTACAATAATCATTTAAAGGATACATTTTGTTTGAATGTCATGCCCTTCCTTTCCGTAGATTGAACAGTTTCTATGAATCATTAAATTTCATTAAGGAATTTTTAAATCCCATCATTGCTTACAGCAGATTAGCCTAAATGTTCGGAATGTTTGTTGTCACCCAGTGCCAGTCCACAACTTTCCGAGTAACTTTCACTCCATATAGTTAACTTAGTTTAGACACTGAGTCGGTACTGAGTAACCAGTTACTTGAGCTACCTTTATGTTGTTTGAACGGTTTGATTTAGCAACTCAACTGAATCAGTAATCTTTAGCTTTTTTTTTTTTTACTAAGAGTCCACTCAACTACCCCTCAGTTCAGTAGCTCTCGCCAGTCTGAGGCTGAGAAGTGTCTAATCTCCTTGCCTTTCTTGAAACAATTTCCTGGATATATTGATCTAAAAACAATTATCATACCACATTACTATTGAACAAACAAACTTAAAATTAAGGATTTTAAAAATTTTTTGTTCTCTTATTTACCGCACGTTTTACATGAGTTTCATGTGATACAGAAACATCATCAGCCATTCCAACAGGTGCATTGCAAATTTCAATATTTGTTATGTTATTACTTTAACTCTCAGTCTGCCTCATATGATACTTCTTTCTCACATATTCCGAGGGGGGGGGGGCATAAAAAATCTGCTTTAATCCTTGCTCATGATGGGATTGAAATGTAAAACACTTACTCTTCTAACTAAACTGATAAAATTATGGGAAGATAGGGGCATGATATGTACATTTAAAAATTTTATTTTTAATATATTCTAGTATTCGCCCCCCTCCCTTTGAAACACGCCATTCTAGGCAGCTGCATATATGACCTATAAACCAAAAGCAAGCACTACTCAGTCTCACCCATTGGGCCTTTCAATGACCATGGATTTTGACCACTTAGTTAATAAAAAATAATTAAGCAAATTTTAGACTAGACTTAGTTAACTTACAGTTTGAGCAGAACATGACGGTCTGTAACATAATATGTGATGGATAGAATGGCCTAAAACTGAAAGCTTAATCTGAGGCATAAGTCTACATAGAAAATCCCTTGTTATTTTTATGTCGTCCATGTGCCATTAAAAATCACTTGTTATGCAAGGTCTGGCATGCATGCCATGCTAAAAGTATTTTGGTCTATTTTCAATAATATATTTAGCCTACAAGATTAAATTCATTTCCTTGTTACATCTTTAGTGTTGTTCTTGCTCTTCTATTACCATCAGTGCACCAATGGTCTGAGTCATTTTAGGGTTAGGGAATGGAACATTTTAACAGGGGTTGCTTTTTAATTTACTTACAGTTTTAGTAGCAGACAACTATGGCAGACAATAAGTGGCACTGGTTATGTGAGCCTCCGACCACAGGCAAGTTAAAATAGCTTTATTTTTACATTGTTTTAAAAATGGTTACACGGAAATAAGGGTGTATTTAAATTATTTATTCAAGCATGATATTTTATTACAGATACTTTTAAAATTTAAAGGAAACAACTCAGTGCAGTTACATATTTACGTACTGTTACTTTGTTAGGTATTTTTTGTTGTTATTACAGATACTTTTAAAATTTAAAGGAAACAACTCAGTGCAGTTACATATTTACGTGCTGTAACTTTGTTAGGTATTTTTTGTTGTTGACAATTTTAAAATTATTCTTGCATAGGAATATGTGGAACGTGAGCTCATCAAGTGCAGGGATAAACTGATGGAAGGCATTTCTTTCTATAAAAAACCGAGGTACGCGTAAGTATTATTAGCAGTGTGATTAATAAATTCTAGATCCCTTAAAATATTATTGAAAAGATTGCCATTTGGTTACATTCAATATTACTGCCATGTCTACATAAAATGATTTCTTTTTAGGTATTCACGTAGGAAACAAACCATGTATCAAAAATATATCAAGCCCTTTATTTTCTTTTGATAACTAATAAAAAATATGTAACAAAAACATTTTGAAACCTATTTCTGATATTATTTTTTCCCCCCTCACTTTAGAAGATTAACTACAAATAGTTGGACTTTTTTAAGTTGTAATACTTGTAAATTACTTTTGTTATTTCTTTTCTCTATTTTATTCATATCAATTTTATACTCAGAAATTGTTCACATTTTACAATAAGTGTTATATAATTTTGTAAATAGGGGAAGAAAAAAAACATTTCAATTACCATAAATTACCACTAAGTGAAGGGAATATGGTTCAGTTTTTGTTGTTTTTGTTGTAAATCCTTTTAATAATTATTTTGGTTACAGTTCAACACCTGGAGAATCACTGAAGAAAGAAAAACATCTGAAGAAAGTTCAGCAAGATTTCATTATCAAATTAAGCCAGTTTTTGGTAAGTCAGATTTGGTAACATAAAAAAATAAAAATTGTAATCAAATTCTTCTGTTCTTTTGTCTTATGAAAATAGTCATATGTATTTCAGCCTTTTGAGTTCTGTTTTAAAAAAGAAAGGTATTAATTTTATTTTTTGAAAGTTAATATTGTCACTGCCTTATTCACTTAAAAATTGTATTTCTGTGATGCCCATTAAAAAATATTTATAGAATGAGACTATATTTTTTTCTTGCTAGATAAAAAAAATTCAATTCATCTTTTAAAGTATAAATACTTCAACAGGCATCAATATTTCATTTCATGAAAGTAATTTTGTTTTTTTTATTCATAAGTTTTTGATTGAGCAAATATACATTAAAAATCTAAATAAATTCTACTACAATGGTAGACATATCCTGATTTTTTTTCTTTAAAATCCCTTGGTTGCATTGAAATTAACATTTCTTCAGTTTCAAAATGTTCAGTATTTATTTTCCGCAAAATGGTGTGGTGACCACATGCTCCCACACCACAAATCTCCCAATACTCATATAGCTACTTAGCAGTGCACCTGTTTCTGAACTTTTTGAGAGAGTAAAAAGTGATTGAGAATAGAGGAAGCAGTGATAAGATCAGTACTTAAATTTACAAGCAGAAAAAATGTTAGTGTCTTCCACCTTTTCCGATTTCCTTAGATTTATTTTAAGTTTTCTTAAAATTTTTCTTTTTCTTCATTCACTTTTAAATAAGTGTTACATTTAGATAAAATGTCTTTAAATTTGCTTGAATAATTTCAGGGTCTTGATGAGGTACAGAGCTATGATCTGTTTTGTGCCTACCTTCTCACAGAATTCAGGGGTTCTCAGAAAGAAATCAATGTAAGCATTCAAACATTTTTTATAAAAAAATTCAGCCTGCTAACACGGGAAGTCCACGAAAATGTTGAAAACTGCTGCAGATCTGTATTAGTTTAGACTAATTCTTTTATGAGCAGGTGCATAACTCAGCTGAACCAATGTGTATAACGTTGCACATAGTTTTGTGTCATATCTCGACAAGGATAAACTAGCTATTATGTATACAACATTGTGCATAACTTTTTGTTATATTTAAAAAAAGCAAAGTATATCTATACAAGGATAAGCTGGCTACGATGCATTGTATAAACTTTAACATGATAAAGAATTTTTTATCAGTGCTATAATTAGGTGAGTTTTTTTTGTTTTTTTTTTTTAGTGCCCATTTTACTCTGTCAAACATGATAATTAATAAGTCTTTGAATTTTTATTTTAATAAAAAAAAGTTTTTGAAGGTTTGGAAAAATTTTCTGAATTCTTGAACTTGAACCTGTTTAAAAACACCCCCAAAAATAGAAATTTAGATATTGTTCTACAATATATTTATATTTTAATCATTAAAAGAGCCCCCGCCTCTGATTTTAATATATTTGTACTTTCCGCATATTTCCTTTAATATTTGTTTTATGTTTAAATTTAAACTGTTTAGAGTTCAGGTGTTTTGCTAGCGCTCTAGAACATGCTAAGTTATAATGAATTAACATAAAACTCATTTTTTTTAAAGAGTATTACTTGCAGTTATTTTGGCTGTCTCAACTGTCTCGTTTCTTGTATATTTGCAGCATATCCTCGGCCATGACAGACATTCTCAGACACTTATCCTGAAGATACAAGACTTCTACCACGGGGAAAGATTGTACCTGCTGAGATGTCTGAGAGAGATAATGCAGTCCTGGTTCACTGGGGAACATCCTTACAAGGTCAATCATATTGTTTTTAGTTTACAAGACAAACAATCCCACCCTTTTGCAAGCATAAATGATGAGAATAGTGCAGGAATGTAACAGTATATAACTCATTTCATCATAAGGTTTACCCATTTCACTTGGAAAAATATTTTTTTTCCCCACTGGCAACAGAAATACTAAGCTCTATTGTATAATTGACCCAACACTTGGTGGTTGTAAATAACGATGCTCTTAAAACATAGGTTGAAGTGGTTGGATAATTCTGCATCATCTCCTGAAGGGACTGCTGCATCATCTGCTGAAGCTTACATGACTGCATTTATAGCTAAGAATGAACACTGAGAAGATATGACCTGCTGTTTACACATCTTCATTGACACCTGTCAATACTTTATGGCAGCGAACTGACACCAGAAAGAAAATTCAATTATAGCCTATCCCGGGACATTTTCTTTAAATAAATTTACTTGGTTCTTTTCTAATGAAAATAAGGATTTAACTACATTTTTCATTTTTCTCCAGTTTTTAATTTATTTTCATTCCTTTATTTTCATCGATTCCTTCATTTTCATCCATTCCTTCATTTTAATCCATTACTTTATTTTCAAGTGCTTGCTTTGCTTACTTGTGCAGGATGTGTTTACCAAGTTCGCTAAGGACATGCTGGGCCAAAACCTTCTTGGCAAAAAGGTTGGCTTAAATAAATTAATAAACTACCTTTAATGACTGTTTGTTTCTTTTATACCATTGTTTTCATGCTTTGAGAATTATTATCAGTAAATGCATACTGATCGATGTCTTGCAAATAAATTAACCCTTTGCCTTAATAGGAAGCTTACTTACACATGTCTTTCCATTAAATTTTGCTTTCTTGTGTATTTTGGCCCTTTTTATCTGTACTTCCTGTGCTGGTTAGTATCATGGATTTTAAATTTCAAAATGAACACTTCACTTCAGATTCTGAATCAGTTTGTGGAAGTTTGCAATGCTTCCCTGCCAAACAAGGACACCAATGGTCCACTTATGGTAAGAATTTCCATTATACTCTAAAGTTTATTCTGATCTGTATCTGTGTAAGATAATTTTCATTATTTTTATTTATTTTTTTGTTTGTTTACCCTCACCTTAGAGACCTTTTCAATATTTTGATATGGGTTGACCCACAATTCATTTGTTCTCTGCTCGTATTTCAGAATCGTATGCAGATCATGAGTTGGGCCCTCCAGAACCTCAAGGAGCAAGTGGAGCTGCTGGAACTGCTGCTAATCTATTATAAAGACATTGAGATGGACTTTGATACGTTTGTAGAGCTGTGCTCAAAATTCAGGGTGAGATATTCTAGAGACTGAAAGACTTTAACCAACCACTTGAAGTCCTTAAGGAAAACATTTGCCCCCATCCCCACTTTTGTTCTAGTGACTTCGGCGGACGTCCTCAATTTCCGATCCCCCACCATATCTTTATTTATCAAAGTAGCAAATGAGGGGCACAAATTATTTTCAATGATGCACTGTATAGAAATATATAAACATCAGTCATTTACTTTGAGACGTGGCCTATGTTAGACATGGGATACGATTAGTTATTGCATACATTATACTGTATGTGTATTTATTTACTCTTACAATATGGTATAGTAAGATTTTGAAATGGTATAGCACTATTCTGAAGATCTACAGCCGTTGAAAGTCCAAGCTAGGAAAAGAAAGGCATTAGTTAGGTCTGAGTGGAAGGAAGTGGTGAGGCAGGCAAAAGCCCTACATGGTCTGTAGCACCACAGACTATATTATACTATATTGCAAGTTCCAGTGTGACCAGGCCTGGTTCTGGTCCTATTGGACAGAAAGCTATGTTTGGCAACTAAAATTCCTGGAAAATAGTTGAGAATGATTTGTGGAGCTTAAAGGACAAAAAAAGAACAACAGGACAATCAAAAGGCTAGCTTTCACATATCCTTGTCTAACATTTCCTTCACACAATCTCTTACTTATAAAATATCCTAGAGTAAATGCCATTATAGTTCATGTTTGATTGGTTTCACATGCATTTATTTTTTTGGTCTATTTTCGTAATTGACAGAATGACAGCTTCGGCTATAGTCAGAGCTTTAAACATTTGCTGGATGCACAGATGGATAAATTAGTCAAGAGAATCGGGTGAGTTTTTTTTTTAAATGGGAATAATCTTAACTGAGGATGATGGTACAGCACGAAAGGGATACTTATGAAGCAACTCAAATTTGAAGGAAAAAAAAGGAAATTTAAAAAATGATAGATTTAATAATTATTTGTGATGTTTGTTTATAGAAAAGCCATAGTTCTGCCTATGTTTATGAAAAAATTGTTTAAGAGGGTTTTCAAACTGTGGAGCTTTTTTAGAAGAAAGTGCCATGCAGTAGCAATGTAGACCTGTTATTGGGGATTGAAATAAATGTGTGTGTGTAATAACATTGAAAGGTTTAAGATAAGTAATTTACAACTTAACATAAAAGTGTTAACACTGCATTTTTTTAATTTATAAAAGATTTTAAATTTAGATTTTGAGAGTGATGAGTACTCATTTGGGGGCCATCACTTAAAATTTTTAAAAATATTTTCATATTTAATTCTCCTTATGAAAATACATAATCTCTGAAGTAACATGGATTTTTTTATATATATAAATATTGATGTATGTTTTATTGCAGGTACCTGCAAGTTTTAATCCTGTTAGAAGGCCTGGATGTTTTAATAGCCTTTGAGTTGAAGAAAAAAGAAACGTGAGTTCATTTTTGTGACATGTCACTGCGCACCAGCTCTGTGCAGTAAATGCACTCAGTGGACAAGTCATTTGATCAATATTTTAAAAAAGGATGTTTTATTGACATATTTCAGTGCACCAGGTATGCTCTGTGCAGTAAATGCACTCGATGCACAAGCCACTTTATCAAAATTTTGTTAGAGCGATTCAGCAGGGTGTTTTTATTATATAATTTAGAAATCACTTCTTTTTTATGATCACAATGTAATTTTTATTTTATGCGCCTATCTGCTCTCTTAGCCTAACAGATCATTTTATCCTGGGAAACAGTTCCAATATTGAGGTTAGTGAAATTTTAAGACATAAAAGTGTTGCACTTTAAGGCTTATCTTAACAGAAATTTTGATGAAATTACCTCTTTTTTTTTGTGTGTTTTATTACAATTTTTAAAAAATTTATTAATGACATCCAATAGGTTTCTATGATAAATTTTAACTCTTCACTAAGTTTAATTTTACTTGGAAACATTAATCAATAATTTATAATTCCTTAAAAATTTAATCAGTTATAAGGTAGCGATGGTGGAGAGAAAACAAAAATAGAAGAGGATGTCTACTGAATTATTAAACACTTCATTAGATTAGTACTTATAGTTTTTACAGCAAATAGATACTTTTGTACATAATTTACCATTTAAGGCATTTTATATATATATATATATATATATATATATATATATATATATAAAAATATAGTAATGATTGAATAAAAGTTGTTCAGTGGTCAGTGTGTGAGGTTACATGCATGAACCAGATATGAGCTAAGGACTTAATCTTTGTCCAATTTCCATGAACAGAAAGTGGATGCAATTTTCTCTCAGCTGCGTTCTGACCCGGCCCATGGCCCCCTCAACTTGGCCTGGTCGGTCCTGCAGTACATCCTAGGGGAGGCCAGCCAGACCGAAGAAACGGGTGGCGAGACGGTCAGCTCGGCCAAGGCGTTTGCCAGGGCCAGAGGCTACGGAAACGTTGCTTTACAGCTGGGGGTGTTTGAGTTTCTGATGGAGCTCTTGGAATATGAAAGTTTTTCAGGGAAGTCTGTGAGTATGACCGGTGATTTCTGCCGTGCAAAACAATCTCTGCTCGTCAGTTTGACTCTTGACCCGCCAAATAGAATAATGCACACATGTATTACAAAAAAAAAATTAATTATATTATATAACATTAATTCTACTCTCCTTATAGTTGGGGGGGGGGGGTTATTTTTAGGAAAAAAACGGGCCAGGATACATTTTGAAATGGTGAAATGCATTTGAAAATGATTTTGCTGTTACTTGAGCTAGATGAATGTATTTGCTGAATGTCGTATAACATTAATGTTTACTATCTGATGTTTTGTAAATGTCTTGTTAATTTTTTAAAAAAATTATTGTTATTTAGCACTAATCTCCTCAAGTATTTTGGCCAATTTCAGAGTATATTTTTTTTTTAAAGTCCTAATAATTACTTCATTCTGATTACTATAATCTACCTATAAAATGGTGAATAAATTTCAGGACATGGCAGCCACCGCACATTATATCATTTACTCGGTCATCTCAACATTACTTGCCCTGTTCCATGAGGAGTCCCTGGGGAACACAGAGGTAAGGAAACTGACCAGAAAAATGAATTGTTTTGTAATTGCTTAAATAAGCAGATAATTTTTTTTCTTTTAATGTACATTACGCACCAGTGCATGCCACCTTTGAAAAGTATAGAGTTTCCAGAGTTTATTCTTAATTCAAAAATGTTAATAATTAACTTAGAATGAATTGGTGTTGACTATTTGTATAGCTATTTTCCTATCAGCATAGTGTTTGTTAATGAATATTTAAAGACCTGGATATGCGAAAGCCATGAGGAAATTTTTTTTAAAAATTCTTTTAAAATTAAGCTTAATTAAAAGTAATTTTATATGCAAATGTAACAAAAAGTTTCAGTCTGTAAAATATATTTTAATGTGAAAATATTGGAGATTCTTGGCTAGTGATGATGAATAGTTTATCAGTGAGCTAGTATTGCCCTGGGTGGTTAGTTTTTTGAGCATATGAAATAAGAACTTAAAAATCTTGTAACTAACTCAGCTATTCATAATTGAGGGAGGTATTGCAATACATGAGGTTTGCTAAGTATGCTTCAGTCCACCATGGCTGACGTCCAGGTAGGGACTGTCGTGGTATGATTTAGTGTTTAAGCTTTTCTGCCATAGTTTTTAATAGGGTGTTGACGTACGCCTCCATTCTGTGTTCATAGCATTCCAGATATCTCAGAGTCGTCTGTACAATGTCATGTTTTTCTGTCTCTTCCTGCAGCCTTTGTACAGGATTGTGAGCAAACTTCTTTCTTGGAACTTCATTGCCAACACATTTTGGGAACAGGTAACATTTCCTGCAATGGTTTCAAAATAGTCATTTCTGTGTCCTAGAATTTTTTTGTATCTAAGTGTGTACTGACTGGTCACAGTTTTAAGTCTATCTCCTTAAAAGATGTTTCAGAAATACTCTCCAGAAGCTTCATAAAATTGAGAGCGCCAACCCCATTTTTTTCTCATTTTAAATGGCTTCTTTTAAAATAATTGAGCAAAAAATCATCAGAATTATGTTCCTTTAAATTTAGTTAAATTTAGAAGAAAAAATTATTTCTGATGATTTTTTTTTTTGGATTTTTTTTAGCAAAAAATCAGAAATATTGTTTTCTTTTAAATTTAACTTTGCACTAAATTTAAAAGAAAAATAATTCTGATGATTTTTTTTTGCTAAGTTATTAGTAGTAAAAGAAGAAGAAAAAAAAATATTTAATTTGTATCTGGTTTTTTGTTTTCTTCTCAAACTGTTTGATGTCTGCATCTCACAGGGTGAATCAGAGGGGCTGGCCATTCTGTACAAGTCTGCCAAGTCTTGGTTCCCTGTGGACTTCAGTTGTTTCATTCAGCTTAACATCTCACTTGCGAGTGCCAGCAATTACAGTGCCAAGAAGGTAACGAACCACACCAGCCCCTCATTCTCAGCCCTTGTAGATCTTTTGTTTTGCTTTAATTAATCAACCCTGCTAGCATGTGTAACAGGTAGGAACAATCTCAGAAATTAATGAACTTAGAGGAATGAAAACATGCACCTTAATTAATGATGACTCTTGAATCTCTGGTGAAGGTCAAGGCCGGCCTCCTGTCGCTGAACAGGTACACAGAGCTGCTTGACAACAGCAATGCCCAAGACCTGCAATTTTCAGGGGAGTCAGGGGTGTTTGTACTCCAGAGGAAGAAATACCCATACCAGAATAGTGAGAGACATTTATTATTGTTTTTTATTTATTCTGTGCATCACACATGATAATTCTCTAGGTATCTATGTAACTTATAACACTGTGTGCAGTAGGCGAGTAAAATAAAATTGCTTAAAGTTGACACTAATTGCGAGTCTTGTAAAGTGTGTTACTTGAATGCATGTTTTGTCAAGTAACTTTAGTGGATAGGAATTCAACGCATTGCCTCCACCCCTTGTTTTAAGGGCTATTTCTAGTAAATAAATATTTGTGTATGATATCCAGTGAGACTTCTTTAGATAGAATCTTCTTTTGGTATTTAATTATTTCTCATTTAAATAGTAAAAATGCAGAGAAATGAAAACTTGTGCTCCACGGCCACCTGAAACTATTTACTTCAAAGCATATTTGTTGTTTTTATTCGCTGCCAGTTTGTCAACTTTTGTTTGAATGTTTTTTTCAGGTGATTTTTACATCAATGCTGGTTGCCGGGGATATGAAACTAACACGGCAGGTAGCTCAGTTTAAAAATTAAGGCTTCATATATATACGTTAGTGATACAGACCTGTTTACTCTTACGATTTTGCCGTACAATGTACGATTTTGAGGTGTATACAATATATATGTTACGGTCAATTAGATTATTTCTGGCAGTTTTCACAATGCTTGGTCATTATAAATAATGACCGATAAAATCAGGCAATTTAATAATTTTGTATTTTTCTACGACAATCTAGGATAATTTATCACAATGCCTGGTCATTATAAATACTGCTATTATTTCTCTGGTCACTTTAATTAAATGACAGCAATTTGGCAATGTGCGTATGGTGTGATTCTCACTGGCCGATACTAAGTAAAATAGAACTCAAGATGCCAAATTGGTTTAATCGACATGCAGTCACAAGCTGATGATCAATATAAATTCATACTTGTACACCAAGATCATATATAACTAAATTTATTCAACTTCGTTCTCTTAAAAGTAGCTTATGTGCTTTTGGATATTTTACCATTTTTGGTGCGCCTACTATTTTGCAAAGCGATAATAGGAGAGAATTTGCTAACAATACTATTAACGAACTATGTAGCATGTGGCCCGAGTTAAAGATGGGAAGCCCAGACACTCAAAGTCAGGGCTCCTTAGAACATGCAAATCAGGAAGGGAAAAATATGCTTTGTTTGTGGCTGGAAGATGATAACAGCAGAAAATGGTCAGAAGGCAAACGTTTTGTTCAGATTATGAAGAACAGATCTCATCATAGGGGCATAAACTGTACTGTGGCATAAATCTGATTTCCATAACAACGAAAGAGAAATAAATGTCTCCGAGCCATCTGATATTCAAGTCTCCGGTCATGAAAAACGCGCATATGAAGGTTATGAAGATTCCTCAGAGTATCCCAATGGGAAAAAAATTAGGGAGATTTCAGCAAGCAATCTAAAAAAAACAAGCTGAAAAAATGTTTCAAAACTCTAAGTCAAAATACCCTGCCGCTAAAAGTCGTGACACAGTTAGAGCTCGAGTCCCAGATGTCGACAGAGGCCGCACCGATGGAAGAAATATTTTGGCATTTATTTTTGAAATAACAGATGCCAACCTTTATAAATTAGGCACGAAACATGGAATCCTAAATCAACTTTATGCTAGGAACCAATTTACCATATGTAATGAAAAGTTTATTGATGCCGAAAAAATTCCTCAGTCAGAGATTTCACTAAGAGAATGTGCAAGAATGTCATCCAAGACTGAGGGCCAAGACTGTAGTCGATGTGGCTGTAAATCTGACAAGCTCAAGTGCTGTAAAGAAAAAAGCTATATAACTTGAAATGTCACCAAAGTGGAAGCTGCTCTATTAAATAGAAACTCTAGGATTTGACATTTTGTGTGTATATGTATTTGTAAGTACCTACCTAATATGTTTTTCTAGTTAGGCGTACGTATTTTTTATACTTATTTTATCACCACCAGTTTGTTTCTTTATTTTTTTTTTAGTTATTAAAAAATTTATTTTAATATAATATCCTCTTATTTTTTGTATGTAGAGAAATATGAATAAAAATTTTCTCAAATTGCCCACTCAATTTCCATCATTATTGATAATACCCGGGCAATGTAATATTTTCAATATAATTTATCATTTTGTCACATCCCATTGGGTAATTTTTAAATTGCCGGGGAATTATAATTAATGCCCAATTATTTACATTGACCGTAACATATATACTGTATGTTTATTTTTTACTATAAATATAAGGTATTGATCGATTTTGTGATATTGTACGATTTTAAGAGTTTGAGGGCAAACAGTTCTGGTGATATAAATTTTTATGGCATTATAGCACTGGCATAAATTAGACATTATATATGTCTGTGATATAAATTTTAATTACATGGTTAGCTACCAATAGCACTTGCATAAATTAGGCATCATACATGTTAGTGATATAAATTGTAATTGGGTATTTAGCTGCTAATAGCCCTGGCATAAATAAATTAACTTGAGATTTTTTACAAGTGATTTCATGATTTTTTTTTAAAATCAAGACTCTGCTGGCAATGTTTGATACTTTAACCATAAAACAATGGTTGATTCTGAAAACAAATTGCTGGGCTGGGTAATGCAATAATTTTATAATAGCAAACAAAATTTTTTTTTACAATATTCATTAATTTTTTTTATAATAGGCTAAGTTAGCACAGGACGAGGTACATATTTCATTCCCATAACATGAAAATTTCAACTATTAAATTATTTCTAAGATAAATAACTCCAAACCCCAGCTGAGAGATGAGATCTCAAAATATTTGATTATTTTTTGTTTTTTTCCCACAGCAACAAGGCCTCACTTTGTTGGGCACAAAATCATCTGCTGGGACACAAGTTTCAATGCCTGGCACATGTTGATGGGGGAAATACACGAACTGTTGGCACAGGTGTCACACGGAGCTGGTAAGTCATTTCATGTTCCCATAAGACTTTGCTGGGACATTTTCGGCTTATATATTGTTAAAATAATGTATATAGCCTTAGTCCTTGATATATAATTTAGATTATTAATGATTTTTATATTTTAATGTAGTAGTGACTGCTATCATTGACCCTTGATTTTATTAATTTCTATGGTTCTTTAGAAAGCTTTCATAAATTTTCATGTAACCCTAACTTCCATGTAAAACCTTCAGAGTGGATGCCACTCACCAAGCACTTCTGCTAGGACTAGTTTTGACAAACTTTTAATTGCTTTCATTCTTTAGGCATGGTGCAAACAGAACAGCTGCTCAAGGTGACCATGGTGACAAAACTGGTCAAAGAGGTCATGACCTCTGACCCCACTTCCGTCCCAGAGTTCTCAGAGATCACTAGGCTCTGCCACCAATTGATATTGAGGTGACTTTTTGTCATTTTTGTCGTGTTTACATTGTACTATGTAACTGCTGCTTGACAAGGGCAAGACGTGATTGCTATATTCACTTTTTAACTTACTTTTAATCACTTCTTTCAATGATTTTTAAATCTGTTTCACATGACACAGTACATTAATCAAAGCAGGAAACCTATAGACAGAGTTGAGGTTCCTGCTTGGATATTCTATACACAGAGACAACAAAATATCCAAGTAATACCATTTTTACTATGTTGGGTCAGGGTTGCACCCAAATCCATTTAGAATAAATGTGATTTTGAACTTTTTTTAGATAACTAAATGTAGATGCATAAAAGTCTCAGGTGAAAATATTAAGGGGACCTTTCCAGAAAATTTTTTCCTGCATTTTATAACAATATGTAATTATGACTTTCAACTTCTGTCCACATTCTTCATTCATTGGGTTTTTTCGTTTTAATTTTTTTTTTTTTTAAATTCACGTTTGTAAAAAATAAAAGATTAACTAACACCTTCAATAATCTATTACCATTAGATTTGCTGTACTGAGCCCTGCCCCACTTGAGCTACTTGCCTATAGTATCCAGTGCTTGTGTCTGTCAGTGCCTGGGTTCTATCCTGAGGTGCGTTCATGGTTGCTGCCTATGTAAACACCCTGGAATTTTTAGTACAGTGATGAGTGGACCTAAATTAAATATTGGAAATTCTATTTAAAAAAATATTTAAATTTTTGTTATGTTCACTTTGATTGCTGAATTAAATATATAGAATTTTAATAAGTGTTAATTTAAAGATATGTGTCTACCTATTTAAATGGGAAAAAAAATCTGTTTTATAATCTGCAATTATTTTTATTTCACATTTAAGAATAATTTTCAAATAGAAAGTGGTCATGTCAAGCTGACCCCTTTTAATAATAACAATTTTTTTTAATACTCTAGGTGTGTTTATTTATTTTTTTGTTCCAGGTGTCACATCATCTGAAACAAACCGGTCTTCTACCTTTCCTCAGCAAAAACATTGATGACTATTCAGAAGTTTTAAGGTAAGATTCTCTTAAATTTATTAAATTTCACAGCCTATTTCATATTCAATCTGAAGGTTTTATGTTAAAAAAGTGCAAGCTGGAGTAAAGAGGAAATAATGAACAAGTTACTTTTCTGGGCAAAGGAACAGCTCGAAAAAAAGAAGGAAAAAAAAAACCAGCAACAATGGCAAAAAATACAAATTTGAGTGATAATTCTTAAAAATAAATTCTATGCCATCCCTATGTCCAAAACAGGACCAATTCAAGTGTGACAATCCCTTTTAAATCAGCTGGTACTTGCATAAAAATAATTTATTTAAAAACCAATGTATGTCTATCCTTGTAATATTTATTTCCTTAAGTGGTCATTTTCAATCAAAATTAGCTGGCAGCAGAGAGGAATACTAAAAATTGTGGGGAATCCAATTAAGAGCATTGAGTCACTTCTAGACTCAAAAAAAAAATTGTCCTCCATTCTGACATAAGTCCAGTCACCTGTCACAATTATCCTCAAGCTGGGCCATCTGACCACATATATGATCTGTCTTCAGTTCTTGATAACATTATTATTCAACACGTATGTTACACCCTTTGAAACAAGATGTCTAAAGGAATGAGTCAAAATAGAACATGTATTGACCAATTCTGTTTGTCCGCTGCCCAGATCTGTCCCTCAGGTCTAACATTGCCCAGCCGTGCGATATACATTGAAACATTTGTAAATAATTTCTTTACAGGAAACAGGTCATTCGTAAATTTAATATATGATTTATGAATCTAAAAGATTTACAATCAAATTGATTGCACACAAATAATTAATGAATCAAAAGTTTTTGTAGGAGTTGAAAAAAGAAATTGTGTGATTATAAATGATTTAATTGAATTTGTTTACTATAGTGGAGATGGTGTCAACCAGGGTCTCTATGGGTGTGTGTTGGCTGGTACTGAGTGTGCTCAAGGGATCTACTGTGTGACCTTAGCCGTACTTGACCTTGTGACCCAGCTGGTTCGGGTGAGTTTTTTTTAAGCAAAGACAATGGGGTATCATATAAAAAACACCTGAACACAGTAACTTGGTGAAAAGTGTCACTTGAAGGGGTAAGTCTTAGGAAAATGTGGGTTATAGATGTCCAACATGTGAAAAATTTTACAGAGATAAAACATTTTGAGGCATTTGGTAACAGCCTGAATAATTTTTTTTGGTTGAATCTCTCCCTCCCTCTCTCTCCCGCCATCCCTCCCTCTCCCCTCCTCCCTCCCTTTTTGCTATCATGCCCCTAGCCATTCCTGTCAATTTTAGCTGCCATCTTTTTGTAGAAAAGATTAAAATAGTTTTTTTATGAAAGAAAAAAAAAATGATAACATTTGGGGAAATGGGAGAAAATGGCGTTGCTTGGAAATTAATTTTTTCTTTTTTTTTTTGGATATGTTCATTTTCTCAGTGTTCATCCAAGCGAGGAGGGGAAGATGAACACATGGCCAGTGTTTTGTTCATACTCAGAGAAGTGTTCCCACGATTCCACAAGTGGCGATATGTAGACATTGACCAGTGCAAGAGTATCGGTAATCTATAAAATTTATGTTGAGGTGTGCCTTCGAAACATTGATTGGAACCTTTTAAATTATTTTAATCTTTACAATCCTTAAAGATCAGAATTAATTCAAGGACATGTTTTTATGTTTTTTTTAATTTAACATAAGTCACTACGCTTGCTGCTAACGGCAATAAATAATTGGTAGCTTTTTAAAATATTTTAACTTTTTGTATTATGCAGGTCAGAAGTGTCTACATCTCTTTCACACAATTTTCAACTTTCTAAACCTGCAAGAGCGTCAACTTCCTGACAAAGCTGGGTGAGATAAACAATATTTTTTTCAATAGATTATTTTTCATTTTCTCTACTTCTGCACTCAATTAAGTGTTGCTGAACCAGTTGCTCGTCTGTCACAGATTGTAGTTGCCAATAATTTAAATTTGTTGTGCAAGAGATTTTGTTTGTTATTTTTAAAGTGCATTCTGAATAAACTGTTGTTGTTTTTTTTTAAGAGATGATGTGTTAGGTTTTGTTTTTCTTCTTAAGGTCTATTTTTTTTGTTTGATATTCATCAAATTTTTTATGATTATTTCATTTAAATTTTTATTTTTTTCTTAGTGCCAATTCCAGTTGCCCCAAACTCCAAGAAGTCTGTGTTTATAGCCTGCTGTTTACTGATGCTGGCAGGGCTCTGCTTGAGATTGTGTCCACTGGAGTGGACAATGTCCAGCTGACCCTGGCTCAACAAGCCAGGTGATTGTTTCTTTTGTTAAATTTGGTGCACATGGAAAAATGTATTTAAACCTTTCCCTTTTCTCTCAAATGGAGTCCCTTTTAGCCTTATGCATGCACTTGAATTTTTTTTTTAAATTTTTTTTTTGCCAACCAAAAATTACTGATTTTTACCTATCCTTTTTCCTTAGCCTGCCAGTCAAATAAGATTTTTTTGAAATTGTAATATTTTTTAATTTAAATAATCCATGAAAAAATTATGTTTGTCTTTATTCTTGGTTTAAATATGGTCAGAATTATTTCCTGCACTTTCATTTTTCTTATTCAATATAGTAAATTGGTTTTTTCATTCTCATTACTGAATAGGTTTTTTGTGAAAAGTATTTTTAACAATGTTTTCTTGATGCCAGTTTACTGAAGGGTGCAGGGGTAGACTTGGTTGACCTTATCGAGATCTCCTTGTCGTTGCTAAACCGTCTGCTCCTGCTGAAACCGCCCAACGTTGGCCCATCCCCTGTGGAGCAAGCCCTGTCCTCGCAGCCCCCTGGAAGACAGCACCAGCATTTGGTGGCCATAATAGCACAGTACATTTACCATCGCCATAGTAACAAGCTGCCCACTCTAGCCACACTGTTGCTTAAACGGCTGGCGATGGTGAGTGGCTTATACCGGTTCATTTGTTTTTGCTGCAAGTGTGTCTTTTAGGGGATGATATTGCTAATTCCCGTGGCCAACCCTCCTCCTTGATCCTGTCTTGGGGCAGACCATGGTGGAGTTAAACTAAATATGAGTGTTGGACTCCGATAAAGCTTTAAAGTAGATTAATTAGACACAAAATTTGTGTAAATAAAACAATATATGTTCAGCTTTAATGATATAAAATACAAATGTAAATTTTTTGGCAAATGCCTTCATCACTACAAAAAAACAAAACATTTGAATAAGTCAAATATACAGATGGTATGTTTGTTTATGTACTATTAAGGTACTGTGTTGCTTGATTTTGAGACGATGCCGTACGATTTTTTAGTTTGGGGGTAAACAGGTCTGAGGAGCTCAGAGTTGATCCATTCAAGAGCCTCAAGATGACACCATGTATTTTTATTGACTAAAAGATCTTATAATGTCTCAGTTGCCCAAAATGGCCTTTCAATTAAATTCATGTTTTGCACATTTTTATAAATGTGATATTTAACTATACCGGTACTATAAAACAAGTGAAGCTATCAAAATAACAAAAGAAGACCAGAATTAATTGACCACTTCCAGTCAACCTTGAAACTTGACAACACTGAGGCTGATTCTGTCAAAATTCCTTACAATTTGAAAATTCTAAAAAATCAGCCTGAGGTGGCCATAATATAAATGGGGTTTCTTGATTTAAAAATTTTTTGTTTAAAAATAAGTAATTTCCCACCGTCCTAGAAACTTCAAATTTGATACCGTAGAAGCTGATATCACCACAATACCTAAAATATTTTTTTCAAATTTTTTAAAACTATTCAGTGAGGTCAGATTGCAAAGAGGGGGTCAGGAGAATGATGCATGGCTAAACAGGGGAAATCCACTTGTTGAAAATTCTTAAGACACACGACTTCACTGGCATTCATTGTCATTTGAAATACGAGTTCTTTCTTGCACAACAATTAAACATGGGAGCCCAACAATAATATTTATTTATATGTTTTTAAACCAAGTAGCTAAGGGTGAACATTACCAAAACAAAGCGAGGCAGACCCTTTCATCTTTAACTACGTAGGCTTATAGTGTCGAATTTGATATTATTATTTCTTAAAATGGTAAAAACAAAACCAGGTATTTGCTCCCCTGTTCTTAGTTTACCAGCTGTATTAATCACCAGGACTTCACGAATAAAATTAAGAAAACAGATGACACATATTTTGAAGATACGTGGTCATCAGCATAGGAGGAAGCTTGAGTTACACAAATTAAGGGGGGCTGTTGTTGCCTGAGTTATGCATGTGAAACAGTAACTTTTATACCTCGTCTCCACTACATTTTTTATATTTATTTCCTCACAAAAGTATGATATAATTGTCCTCAATGAATCAGAGTTCTTCAACTTTCAACTCATTTTTCATATTGAGATCCTGAATTATTATCTGCGAACTTTATGGAAATAAAGTAAGGAAAGCTAAGACCGTGGTCATTTCAGGAGGCCGTCACCCCAAAAAATGTAATAAGTTTAATAATATTTTGTGGCATACATGAGATGGAGGAAGAACAAATATGGTCATAGTTTAATAGAGGTGGGACAATGTTTTAATGGAGGGGTGAATAACGGTGGAAACCGAATAGGGGGGTGGTGGGTTTTTTTTTTAAATAGAGGTTGAGAAGATAATTGGGATGACAGGAGAGAGCTTGGTTGGGGTGTTGGAATTCTGGTAGTGTTAGTTGCTGCATCCATATACTGGCATCTGTGGATAGATGGATGAGCTTGTATTCAGGGGCTTAAAAGCAGTAATGAATGAAAGACTTTAGGGATAAATAAGAAATACCAGAGTATTTTGGGTCGTAAAATATATTATTAAAAAAGAATAAATAAATGTACACAAGAGCTTAAAGTAAACGGTAGATTCTAGCAACACAACCCTATCATAATGGTAACATCTCACAGGAGACAAAACATGAGTGCCATCAATCCAAAAAAAAAAAAACGACTTGAGGCTTCCAATGAACCATTAACTATCCAGCAGCTACAGATGTTCCCTTCTGCAGTTTGCTGTCTTCTCTTTATTGTCCATCACTTAATCAAATAATTGGAGCTCATGTGCACACAAAAATCCACATTTTGTAAAATCAATCAATTAAAGGAATCGCCCCACCCCCAGTAGTGAGTCACAGGTAAAATGGCTAATGTGGAATAAATATCTTATTTTTTAACTGTTATTACTTTTAGATTGCAACATCATACTGGGAAATTTATTTATTTTATTTTTTTTAAATTTGATTAGCAAAACTTATGTTGTAGATGAACTTGTTAATTCAATGACATTCCAAGGAGCTTCATTTAGATGGTCAAGGGTCAAGGTTTGTCTTTACTTAAGTCACACTTTTTTTGTGCGTGCCTCATCCGCTGCGATTGGCATGATGATCAAAGCATAAGTGATAATCTAGCACTTGTTCGTATTCACCACCAGGTGTCGCCCATGTCCATACTTGCCTGTCTGGGCAATGATAGTGAGCCAATCAGAGACATGTTCCTCACAAGACTGCAAGCAGTATCTGAGGTGCACCCATGTTTACTTTACTGTTACTTTAATGAAGTTTGGTACATTTTTTCCTAGTTTTCTATCATGCCATGCAAATGGCCAATTTTAGTTCAATAATTCTTTTTTTTTTTTTTTATTTTTCACTTGAATGTTCCTTCACTATTTTTTTTTATAAACATCCATGTTTGTTGAATTTTGTTGTAAAAATGGACAAGATTATTTGAACAGTTGATAACCTTTCTTTAAAAAATCAATAAATACATGTTACAGGATATTCAGTTGAAAGTAAGCATTTTGGATTTCTTATCCGTCTGTGTGGCCACGCAGCCTGGGCTTATTGAAATCTTCCTGAACGTTCAACAACATGGTGACAAAATTGCAGACGCCACCAAGGTAGGCAGAGATTGTTTAGACACAACAAAGCTGTCAATGCATTTTTTTTTTTTTGGATCATGTATATTTGCTACCACCACCCGATGTTCTGTTCAGTCCATGTTGCTAGGGTAGTGGTACTAGGGTACCACAACGCTTTAATACAGTTCCTCATGTTGTGGGGACCCCCCAACCACAAAATTATTTTTGTTGCTACTTCAAAACTGTAGAGTTTCGAATATGTTCTTTTGGATGGTCTTAGGGGACCCCTGAGAAAGGGTCATTCTACCCCCCAAAAGTGGTTGCGACCCAGAGGTTGAGAACCATTGTGCTAGGGGAAGAAACATGTTGATCTAGTCAGGCATATCATGTGCAGCTGTTTACTACTTGCGTAACGCTACACACTGACACAGCAAATTGATGTGACTCAAGATTTTAATATAAAGGAATACAAATTGATGAATAAAAACAATTTTATGCATATTATCTGCAATCTAATCCATCTAATATGACAATACTGTCACTAAAGCAGTCATTATTAAATAGAGTATTACAGAATAATAATTTTTTTCCCTAAAGTGTGTCAGAAAATGGCTGACCTTGAGTATTTAAATATCAGTTTTGATAGTGTTTTTTCACTTCTTGAGACTGATTTTTTTTTTTAAGACTTCATTTAATTAAGTAGTCTTGATCCTTTTGTAAAACCTGACAATGATTCTATAATATTATAGAGGGATTTGAGCCTCGGTCGCAGCAGCTGTCTACCCATTCTTCTGGACCTGATGGAGGTGAAGAAACAGAGGACGTACCAGTGTCCCCCCGAGCTGCTGTGTGCCTGTCTGGACCTGGTCCACTCTCTGTGGAAGGGAATGAGGGAAACACCAATGACCGTCCTGAGAGCCAAGTGAGTCACTATTTTGTGACTCCTGAATACAATAGCAAGCCGCCAGCGTGTAATTTAATGCAAAATTTTCTTATCAGTTGCCTCATCATTTGAATCAAAAGCATCAATAAATGGTATTTTGTTTCAGTTACTAATGTTAAACTCTCAATCATGTTTTTATGAGCTTTCAGTATATAAAAGGTTTTAGATACCTATTCTGTATTTACATCAACTGTGTTGTTTCAGAGAAAGCTTTTGGCAGAGTGTGTTGGCTCCACTGCTGGTTGACTTACCTCAGGTGCAGGACCAAGATGACCAACTGAGTTTGCAGGTAAATATCAGCAGGAGATGGGTTGTCGCCTTGACATCTCAGGCACTGACTCTGTATACAGAGCCCCATAGTTGCCAGTTCAGACACTGACTGTGTACAGAGGCCCATAGCTGCCTGTTCAGACACTGACTCTGTGTACAGAGCCCCATAGCTGCCTGTCAGCATAGTTTGGTTTTTATTTATTTCAGATTAAATAGAATTGAGATCTGAAATAATTCAATGATGAAGTCTGGGAAATAAATATTTTAGGATCCAATCAAAATCAAATTTGTCTCAGCCGACCTTCTCCCAGGGCAATGTTTTAAATAATACGTTGAATTATGTTATCTTTTTCTAATCTAGTTGAGCCTAACACTAGCAATGCTTTGCAGTGTCATGTTGATTTAAAACTAATGATTGAGAAACCATATTCCCCTGTGATTTGTGATGTACCAACTTGTCCTCCTTCTCCAGGCCATGAAACTACAGACCAAACTGTGCGCGTCATCACTGAGGATTGTAGCTCTAGAAATCTATGCAATGTCTACGTAAGTCATTCTGTAGCTATAATTTGTGTTGTGGATGCTGGATGGTTGAGTGGTCTAAACTGAGTCAGTCCCAAGCTAGTGGTCTAGAGTTCAATCCCAGCTAACTTTGGATGGGAACTCATCAAAGAGAAGGAAACTCTGAATAAAAAACCCGGAGAAGGAGTCCCGTAGGCAGATACTTTTATATAATTAAATATTCAGACAACTGGTACCAAGCTGTATCATCCATATATGGTGTTCCCTTGGGTTATCCAGTTGCATGGAGAGAGGCATTTTGTCTAGGGAACCACATTAAGAACCTCTCAAAGTATACACCATGGTCACATTGTGATGGATCAAGGCCATTAAAAGAAATGGTGCAGAAGTTATGGTATTTTAAACTGGGAAAAAAATTAAGTGAATTCCTTGACCCATTCTTAAATCCTATTTTAGGTGTGTTCTGGGGAATTTAATATAACTGTGATTATGTTAAGGCAAAATTTTTTTATTTGAGTATTTCATCCATTTAGAAGCAATATGTTAACTTCTGTCACATAGATTTCAATTTTAGTCAGACACAACTGATTAAACTATTTTATCCACATAGGCATAAATATAGTTCTTCCACAACCATTATTTTTTAATTCAAGTGTATTGGTCTTCACCCTTTCCTTTATTTTTTTTTGTTTATCAACTTTAGAGTAATTTTTCCCACCCTCTATAGCACCAGATTGGACTCGAACTTCAAGAAAGCTCTCAAGTCCACTTTTAGCAATGGGAGACTTATTTACTGGTCCAATGTAAGTGCTCGTCATTTATTATTTTTGAAAAGCTCACTATGGCACTGGACAGTCTGTTGCACTTAACAGTGAGGTCAATTTAAAATCATTTCTGAACCCCAATTTTGTACTCTTTAAATCTTAAGTTTTTTTTGTTGTGTTTTTTTTTATTACATTTTTTTTTTAAAAAAAAGGTAAAGACACAAGTTACCGATTCTCAACAAATTCTCAGACAACTGTTTTCTTATATGCTTGTCTTAGTCTCATGTTTGTTAACATTTATTTCAGGTCATTTTGCTTTTAACTTTCTCTACAGTGTCTGCAAATATGTCTTATATTTCCCTCATGATAAATATTTGTATTTTTCTCTCTTCTGTATATGTATCGTGCAGGCTGTAAGACAGAGCCTGGTCCAGGCCGGTCAGGCCAGCAAAGATATCCAGCCCACCAGTGAACAAACCGTATCAGACCTTCCGGCTCTGAACTTACTCTTGGCCTGGAAGCACTTCCTAGTCACTTCAAGTCATTTTAAGGTGGGGATTGCCAGAATCTGTCCATGCATAAATGCTTTGTTCTCCAAAAGTGTTGACCCATTCCTGGCACTGGGTTGTGGGCAAAATGTTTTTTTTTTAAAGAGTTGAACGTCTTATCTTTAAACTTAATCATTCAATGGTTGGTATTATCAGTATTTAAACAAATATTTTTAAATAATTTTTCATTAATTTTTTTTTGGCATTAAAGAAAAGAAATAATAGGTTTACATTTTCAAATAATATTACATTTTTTTATAATAACCCATGCAACCCCATATCAGGCGCCTGAATGTTTACCAATACTTTACTTAAACATCGAATGCCTGGCTTTCAAATGAAAGTCTCCTTATGTTAAGGCATTGATATTTAAAGTATGAAAGCGTGCCATATTTTCGTCAACTATCTCAAAGCGCTCATGATGACTTATGTACACACTAGACAACTCCGCTCATCCGTTGGTGGCAAACTCTCGATACCACATGTTTGCCTTGAGACTCACGGACGGTGCATTTTCGCATTTGATGGCCCAACAATTTGGAACACACTTCCTGTCGCTCTCAGAAACACTGGAGTCTTTCAAAACCGATTTGCAAACACATCTATTTCGCAAACACCTGCTGGGGTGATGTTGTCTACCATCTTTTCCAGCTAGCTATTATCTCCTAGATGTATATTGGCCTGTGTTGTTTATGGTTGCAATGGATGAAAGACTTAGAAGACTTACGTAGTTTTTTGTAATGTTGCGTTTCGTATTTTAATGTGGTATAATATAGATTTTTTCATTTCTCTTTTAATATGGTTGACTTTGTACCACGCTTCAAGCCTTTGGGGATGAGGCGTGATTTTCAAATGAACTTTATTATTATTAATATCTTAACTAAACACTGCTTTGCCAACTTTCCAGGTTGCCGACATCCAGCCGACACTGAACCACAAAAATGAGATACTCTACGACCTCCAGTTTGGGATTCAGGCTCAGTTCAAAACTGATGAGCTGACCCCTATGAAGATGAAGCTGGCGTCCATCGCTAGCGGCTTGTACTTTACAATGGTCAAGTGTTGGGGAAAGTGAGCCTGGCTTCTGTTCTCAATTTATTTTAATTATTAATTTTATTGTGTTAAGTCATTCCAGTTGTACGTTTCAGACTTCATAATCAGTCCCCCTGAATAATGAAAGGAAGAGAGCACACATGCCATTGGCTTTACTCCCATATGCCCCCCCTCACCTGCCATGGCTGGTATTAATGTTACAAAAAATAATTCATTGAAATAACGTTTCTTAAAAGTGTGACACAGTTATGTGGTCCATACATATCGTGGTTTTCTTCTACCCTCTGAATTGGAGTCCACAGCTTCAACTGAAATAAAGCTGTGTAATGAGACAATTGTTTATTCAGACAATATTTAATCCAACACTCTGTTGGCCGCTGTCTTTCGATTTTAGTGGTTGAGGTTTATTTATTACTCGAGGTTAATCTCAGCCTCTTGAATTCCTGTGTTACCTGGGTAACAAGTTCAGTCCACCTTGCAATTACCCGTAGCTAGGATGACCCATGATGAATTCTTGGTGGAGAATTTAAATTTTAAAACATTTTGCCCTTCACCTGCTCATTAAAACAAAAAAAATTGCTCTACATCCATGTTTTGGTAATTGACAGAGATGTGTTTGAGTGTGACATGTTTTGGTAATTGACAGATATGTGTTTGAGTGTGACATGTTTTGGTAATTGACAGATATGTGTTTGAGTGTGACATGTTTTGGTAATTGACAGATATATGTATGAGTGTGACATGTTTTGGTAATTGACAGATATGTGTTTGAGTGTGACATGTTTTGGTAATTGACAGATATGTGTTTGAGTGTGACATGTTTTGGTAATTGACAGATATGTGTTTGAGTGTGACATGTTTTGGTAATTGACAGATATGTGTTTGAGTGTGACATGTTTTGGTAATTGACAGATATGTGTTTGAGTGTGACATGTTTTGGTAATTGACAGATATGTGTTTGAGTGTGACATGTTTTGGTAATTGACAGATATGTGTTTGAGTGTGACATGTTTTGGTAATTGACAGATATGTGTTTGAGTGTGACATGTTTTGGTAATTGACAAATATGTTTTTGAGTGTGGCATGTTTTGGTAATTGACAGAGATGTGTTTGAGTGTGACATTGCCCAGTTTGAACTGCCTGGACCCGGGGAAACCGTCCAGAATCTCATCAAAGCCATCCAGGAGGCAGGAAACGGGAACAGAATTCTCCCGTCCGTCCACATCGGTCTGCTGGGAGCCGTCACCACCATCATACAGCAGCACAGCCACAGGATAGACAGTAAGAGCAGCTTGGAGAGACCTTGCTTTTTTGCTGTGGGGTGGGGGCAGGCTTCTTGTTGGCAGTAGTTGTTCTCTTTCAAATTATTGTTTTTTAGGAAGCACCTAGAGCAGGGGTGTCAAACTCAATCGCTCGGCGGGCCAAAACTCAAATCACATGTAAGGTTGTGGGCCGAACACAGACCTGTTTACTCCTACGATTTTGGCGTACAATTTTAAGGTGTATACATTATAAATACTGTATTTTATTTTTTTCTATTAAGATAATGTATTGAAGGATTTTGTGATAATATTGTACGATTTTAAGAGTTTGGGGATAAACAGGTCTGCGAACAAGATAAAAATTCAATAAGCGGAAAATTAATATCTTTTTAAAAACATTTATATGAATGAAAACAGATGATTTTTAATAATTAAAAATCACTTGCATACCCATTTTCGTTCTCATGCCAGTTAGTCAGAGCTGGATGTTTGGCACATTTTCTTGGCTACAAAAACAAGTACGTTCGTTTATGTTGGGAGCAATGTTCTGTGTCATTGAGATTCTCATGACGGACTGCAAGTGTGATGTTCTGTTAATCTTCATCACAGAAAACGGCTTCTCATACATATATGTGCTACCCAACATGCTCAAGGTTCGAGCTGCATGAAGACAAAGCTGGTGCATCTCTTCAGGAATGAAACAAGTGGACTGCATAGGCCCAGCTACGTCGTACTTTGCTTTTAGTGTCCCATTACTGCAGCTCTGTAAGCTCCATCTGCAAATTTACAGATGCAGTTTCCACGTCCATGATGAATGGGTTACGAAACAGCTCGAAATTACATTTCTGTGCTTTAAAGTCACTGAAGCGCTGTTCTAAATTGGCGCGGAGTAAGCTAAGTTTTTCAGCAAAGTGTGCATTGGGAAACACCATAGCTTTGACTTGCATATAATTGCACGCCGTCCAGACCTCGCAGGCCTGATATAATTGTTCGGCGGGCCGGATATGGCCTGCGGACCTTGAGTTTGACACATGTGACCTAGAGCATGATGAAATAATGTCATTTCAGTGCAAGAAATTTTACCTTTGGTAGGTTTAAAGTTGAAATGAATAAGTTGATTATCAAGTTACCTTTGGGAATTTTTTTAATGAATTGTTTTTATTTTTCCAAGATTTTTGAGTCATCATCAGCTTACATTTTGAATGGTTGGAAATAATCCTTTAAATGTGCATTTAAAAAAATATATACCTTGAGGCCTAAATTGGCATTAAGAGACGGAGAAGTAAATGTTTGTAGTTATGTATTGCCTTGACAGAATGGACAAGAATAGAAGGAGATCATTAGCTTTTACCTTGTGCATCCCAAAAATTAATTAATGCACCGCACAATGCAGACTAATAGTTAAGAATGGGTGTCTTCAACATCTGCACCGCACTATGGAGACTAATAGTTAAGAATGGGTGTCTTCAACATCTGCACCGCACTATGGAGACTAATAGTTAAGAATGGGTGTCTTCAACATCTGCACCGCACTATGGAGACTAATAGTTAATAATGGGTGTCTTCAACGTCTGCACCCCACTATGGAGACTAATAGTTAAGAATGGGTGTCTTCAACATCTGCACCCCACTATGCAGACTAATAGTTTAGAATGGGTGTCTTCAACATCTCCCAGCCTATTTTGTGGTGTAATTTTCAAATGGTTTTACATAGTCTCATTTGCAAGCTGAATAAATTACTGGTTGCATTTGCTACAGCATAGCCGCTGCTTAAGGTATGCTTTAACTCAGTCAGCCGGAGCATGCCTCTAACACAGGGATCACTCTAAAATAATATCCCTCCGTTTGGTTTGACTCCCCAGATCTCCCAGCACTAATCGCTGAGCTGCTTCCTGTGGTTTGCTCTGTGTTCCTCCAGAGCTCCTGGCAGGTTCCATTACTCTTGGAGGCCCTGTTCAAACCAAGGCATGAAGCAGGAGAGTCCAGCGGCCCCCAGCAGTCCGACACATTTGGTTCCCACATCAAGGTCTGTCTCTGGTCATTGTTGTTTATTTATAAGCCAAGAAACTAAACCAAAAAAAAGACAACAAAAAAACTTGCAGATAAAAGTCTTTGGAGCCATGTTAATGACTGTTTAGCTTTACAAAATCTGGAGGCATATCAATGAGTGTACAGCTTTACATTGTATCCTCCAATAGCAAGGATAATGATGTTTTTTCTAATCAGTAAATGGGGGACAAAGTCTACTTGTTTCCGCCAATAAGTAATAGGAGACTGTATCCCCTCATTTACTGCCCCTCTGCATGTCTGTTACAACCTTACAGTCTGTTACAACTCAACTAGTTCATTTGCTACAACCCTACAAGTCTGTTTGTTACAACCCTACAAAGCTGTTGGTTACAGCCCCTGTACAAGCCTGTTGGTTACAGCCCCTGTCCAAGCCTTTTGGTTACAGCCCCTCTACATGTCTGTTTGTTATAACCTGCAGTCTGTTACAACCCTACAAAGCTGTTGGTTACAGCCCCTGTACAAGCCTGTTGGTTACACCCCCTTACAAGCCTGTTGGTTACAGCCCCTCTACAAGTCTGTTTGTTACAACTCCTCTACATGTCTGTTTGTTACAACCCTACTAGCCCGTTTGTTACAACCATACAAGTTTATTTGTTACAACCCTACAAGTTTGTGGCCATGAGTAGATATAAAAACATTTTTTTTCCCTACAGCTTCAGATAGTCTGCTGTTGCCTGATGGTGGAGATTCTGTACATTAGCTCAGATATGAACTCATCCCTGGCCATCATGAAAGAGCACAGCATTGTCACATGCATTTTGACCACAATGGAAGTTTTGTTCAAGGTTAGAAACAGTGTCCTGGAGTATCATGACACCACTTTAGTTATCAGATATCTTTATATCACTTTAGTCTTCAGATATCTTTATATCACTTTAACCTTCACATATCTTTATACCACTTTAGTCTTCAGATATCTTTTCACTTTAGTCTTCAGATATCTTTATATCTTGTATCAGAAGTTCTTGAAATGATGTCCTACTTTACTGGCATCTCCTGCAATTATGGGTTGTTGGTTTTGTTTTTAAGGGAGTAGTGGAGTTAAGGCTTTGAATTTCTATTTGGCTTGGTGCATGTCCCTCTTGAAATATGCTTAACCTGAACACAGTTAACACAGTCATTCATGCTTGCTCCCCCAGGCCAGGCAAGGTATATCCTACATCTACACATGTCTGCTGCTGCTCATCAAGCTCGCCAACACAGAAATGGTAAGGAAATGAAAACTCATCGTCCGACGTTGCTCTGAACACTGAGAAGAGTTCCACATCCATGCCACCTGGACAGTTAAACATTTTTGTTCATTCTACCAACTGGTCCCTGAAGTCCATTAAAATCATTCACCATGTTTAGAGCCGCAATTTGAATTGTGCTGACAAGATCTGTATTATACCAAGTAAAATTTTCAATAAATTAAGACCCCAATAGAATATTTTTTTCAAGCTGCTAACTAAAAGGGAATTTATTTTCTTAAATTATTATTTTGACATGAAACTGAAGCTAACAGATGTCCTCAAATCTTTGTGAGAGTTTGAAATGAACCTTAATTTAATCACCATGTAGATCTACATGAAAATTTTTTTTGTTTAATGTCTGTGCTCCATCCAGGGTTCCAGCATGCTTGCACACAGTGACCTGACGGCACACCTGTGTCTGGTGCTGGGCTCTTGTTACGCCAGTGAGGATCCGTCCCAGCCCAGGAGCACTGTATCTAAAGTAGGTCATTAGTCCGTGTTTACCTGAATGCAAAGCAACTTAAATGGCTCTGACAAAAGATATCAGGACAACCTCCTCAGCATAATAACAAAACTATAAAGTGTATAATTTAAACAGCCCCGCACCGGTTATTGGATATAATATTACATCCATGTTTGAAAATAACTCTGTGTACATCATAGGCATGTTTGTATTTTTCCAACAACTCCAAGCATAGAGTTCTATGACCTTGAGGTCGTACTGAAGAGACCTTTTCATTTTTTTTTTGAACTTGGTGAAAACTTATTTATTTTTTGGTATTTATTTGCTACAACTCAGGCATTCAGCAGTCTGCGACCCACTTCGGTGACCTGGCACACCCTGTACTGTCTCAGCCTTGACCTCTTCTCGATCATGCTTCGTGTTCTGGGGTTCTCATTCCTTGATGATGCCCTCAATGTTGTGGGTGTCCATCAGGACAGAATGCAACAGGTAAGAACCAGAAGAGGGGGGGGGTTGTTACTCGGAGGTTTCTAACTGTGCGCTCAGCAAAGCTCTAACCTTGAACTTTCTTCTTTTAATGACCCGTCGTTCTATTTCAAGCTTCCGTATACCTTGTCAGGCTATTTCCAACTTATCGGGCAGTTTCATGGGTGATATGAAATGTTGCTGTTGACAAATTGTAAAGTCAAATTTGAAGTATTTCTATTCCAGAAATCTGTTTAAGTTTTGAAGCTTTGCTTACGATTTGTTATGTGTGTGATGAATTATGTATTCTTCTTTATTTAGGCCAGTGTAATGAGGTGTGGAGTAATGAGAGTTTCAAAAAAGAGCGTGTGAGAGGGCATGGGACAGCTTTAAAGGAAGGGAGGGGGCAGTGGCGGGGTTGAGAGTGAGGGGGGAACAGGGAGCCAACAGGGAAGTTCTGTTGGCTTGTCCAGGGGGAATGATGGGGGTTTCAGGTAGTGCGGGAGAAAAGTTCATCAATTATATTTCACCGATCGTTTTCTTGTTAATAGGTTTTGGTAGTTACATTTAAATATGTTAAAAGTTGAGTTATATACGAGTGCATTATATGAAAGGCATGCCAACAGTAACATTTCCTATGTCAAATTGATAAACTTTAGACAGATTTTTTTTTTTATCCTTGGTATCAGTAGTTTAAAAAGTCATCCCGTAAACGTTAAGTTGTTTGTGTGCTCATGACAGGCCCTGCAGATGGCAAGGGTCAACCTGAGTAAGACAGTTCTACAAGAAGCTGAGGCCACCCTGGGGTTCCTGCTGCAGCTGTGTGCCTATCAGAAGCAGTGGAGGTTTCACCTTCCTGATGTCCTGGCTAAACTTGTGGTGCGTACCGTTTATGTGTCTTTGTTTCATGATGTCCTGGCTAAACTTGTGGCGTGCACCGGCTGTGTGTGTCTTTGTTTCATGATGTCCTGGCTAAACTTGTGTGTACACCGGCTGTGTGTCTTTGTTTCATGATGTCCTGGTTAAACTTGTGGTGTGTGCCGGCTGTGTGTCTTTATTTCATGATGTCCTGGCTAAACTTGTGTGTACCGGCTGTGTGTCTTTGTTTCATGATGTCCTGGCTAAACTTGTGTGTACTGGCTGTGTGTCTTTGTTTCATGATGTCCTGGCTAAACTTGTGGTGTGTGCCGGCTGTGTGTCTTTATTTCATGATGTCCTGGCTAAACTTGTGGTGTGTACCGGCTGTGTGTCTTTGTCTCATGATATCCTGGCTAAACTTGTGGTGTGTGCCGGCTGTGTGTCTTTATTTCATGATGCCCTGGCTAAACTTGTGGTTTGTACGGCTGTGTGTCTTTGTCTCATAATGTCCTTTGTTAACCCATGGCTTTAAAGTCTTGGCCGGAGGGAGGAAAAAAACTGAACTTTCTTCTTATTATTAAGAACCTGTGCATCAAATTCAGAAAACTTCAAGAGCTAAGAAGAATTTATGCAACGGTTGAAATTTTTAAGACAAGTTTTAATACAAATTAAATTTTTTAGAAGGGGAGTCATTATGACCAGGCCAAGAAACAGCTGGGGGGAAATGTAAATTAGTTGTTACTAATATTTAATTGCTCTTTGCTTTAGTTTTGTTGATATTTTCAATAATGGCAAGATGAGCATTTACACGATAAGCTTTGTTTCTCTCTTTTTAGGGTTCTCTGATGTCAATGGTCCAGACACACATGGCATTGATGATCCGACCTCGATATTTGCAACACATTTTAGAGGTGAGAAAGGTAGCGTTGTGTCAGTTAAGTTATTTTGAACACACACACCTTAAACTGATGTGCTGGGTGCCACTGGCTCATCTATTGTGTTGTGGCTCACTGGCTCACACATTGTGCTGTGGCTCACTGATTGTGCTGTGGCTCACTGGCTCATCCATTGTGCTGTGGCTCACTGGCTCGCCCATTGTGCTGTATGTGAAGTTGTCACTGAGATTTCTACAAATTGAAGATACATTTGATTCCTTTGTTTTCCCCAGCATCACAAAGTACAAGATGGTGTGAGTACATCGGAGACCATCCTCCAGCCACCCTCATATCTCCAGCACCAGAGTTCACTGGATGATGTGGAACAGCCTTCGGCACGATTGGTGGAGACGCAGCACAGGTATACAGAACAGCTTTCAATGAGGGACATGTCTGATAGATCAGAGCAGCTTTCAATGAGGGACATGTCTGATAGATTAGTACAGCTTTCAATGAGGGACATGTCTGATAGATTAGTACAGCTTTCAATGAGGGACATGTCTGATAGATCAGAACAGCTTAAAATGAGGGACATGTCTGATAGATCAGAACAGCTTTCAATGAGGGACATGTCTGATAGATCAGAACAGCTTTCAATGAGGGACATGTCTGATAGATCAGAACAGCTTTCAATGAGGGACATGTCTGATAGATCAGAACAGCTTTCAATGAGGGACATGTCTGATAGATCTTCATGGGCTAATTAAAAATGACACGGATCTTCAAAAGAATTTTTAAATCCCTTATAATAAATTCACTTTTCTTCGTGGGTGGCAGGCTGGCTGCCATAATTTCGGGCGGCTAATTGACCCTCTCCCCTTCAAACTATCGAGCTGAAACTTGGCACATAGACAACACATTCTTTCATATCAGTTTTTCCTGTTTTTCAAGGGGAAGATGAAGGAAAATTGCAGATAAATACGCTAAATGAGATTCTTTTTTTTTTTAAGCTATCGCAATAGTGTTTGGCGTGTAATATGTTTCTCTAAAAATAATCATGCAGCGTTAAAGTGGGTGGGTCATTAGAATATTAATACATTTCAGGGTCATGAGAAATATGTGCGGTTGCGAGGTTGTGAGGGCTCTAATTGGAAATCTTGTAAAGAGCGTTACTTGCATGCATGTTTTGTCAAATTTTCAGTCCCACCCTCCATTGCTCTATATTACATTTTATAAAAGGAATTATACAAACAACAAAAAACATGTATTTTCAGGGTTGTTCAATTAAATCTCTTACCACTTATATATTCATCTTTCGTCTCATCACACAGCATTTGCTTATAAATTTAAAAAAAAAAAAAATTAACAGAGTAAGGATAATATGTCCAAGCTCAGCAAATTATTAAAATATATGTTTTCCTATGGTCTCCTGGTGGGTCTTCCAGCTACGCTCCTGGATAGAATTAAAAAAAACACAATAATCCGGCTCGCATTGTTCTGCGCAAATGCAAATTTGACCATGCAAAAACACTTCTGAGAGAGCTGCATTGGCTGCCGGTCCGCGCTTGCATAGAGTACCAAATTGCAACTCTGTGCTACCGCTGCTTGCATGACCTGGCGCCATCCTATCTCAAAGAGCTCATGATGCTTTATGTACTCACTAGATCACGCCGTTCATCCGATAGTGGCAAACTCTGGATACCGCGAGTGTGCCTTGAGACCATACGGAAGGCACACTTTCACTTTTTTTTGGCCCAAGAATCTGGAACTGCCTTCCTATTGCTCTCAGAAACAGCCAGACACTGCAGTCTTTCAAAACTGAGTTGAAAACACATCTTTTTCGCATTCACCTGCTTGGGTGATGTAGTCTACCTCCTTGTTTTCCATTGAGCTTGCTCATAATCCTCGATGTATATTGGCTTGTATTGTCCATTGGCTTGTATTGTCCATACGCTTGTATGTAGATTTTGTATTTTTGCGTTTTGTATTTTATTGCGCCTTGAGCCTAAATTAGGGACGAAGCGTGTGTTGAAATGAACTATATTATTATTATTATTAAAATGTGCATTTGTTCAGCTGAGTTATTCTGACCACTGGTCTCTTCATTCTTTGCCCCCCCAAGGATAATGAAACTTTTTGGTACAGCACTGTCCTGTCTCAAGCATTTCACACCTACCTTGCCAGAGATTCTGTTTGATCAGGTAAATTAGCTTTATTTTGTTGATGACAAAGCTCAACATTGTGGCTGCAGTGATATTCTTTAATTTTAGATGATAATCTCCCTATGAAAGTCATTTAACAAATGTTCCTTGCACTCTCATAGTGACAGTTTGAAATTGACATTGTTTAACTATGTGTACTTTTCAGACATAAACATGGAACAGGACATCACCCAAATTTAATGTTATTCCCCTCCCCTCCTCTTATTTTTCTCTCCATATTTGCTGCGCAGTTGTTGGTTGTTTTTTTATGTATTTTTATAACAGACTAAGCTTAGTTTGAATGATTTATTGTAATTTTCGTTGATGTCTACAAATTTCAGGGTATAGATGTCACGGAATGGGAACCGATACTTTCCCTTGGCTTTGGGACACCTTCCCTGGACGATCAAGGGGACGGCATCACATTCGGCACACTGCTCAACTGTGTCACAATCTGCGTTAGGCACATATCAAGGGTAGGTCATCAAAGTTCAAAAATAGATCAGTGCCTCTAAAACTGCTGATCTATGAAACATGAGCAGACTCCAACCACAGGCTCCCCCTAACAGCATAAGGGTGAAAATCTTAAGGATATCCAAAGATAATAATAATCCATACATTTGGCTCTGATCCCAGTTGCTTTGTGGAAATGTTTATATTTGGTGTGCCAAACTGAAAAGCTTGAGAAGCTCTGAATTTGATGACTTTGTTTAACATGAAAATCTTGTATAATAATAGTATTTGTTAATTGTGAGAAAGCTTATCCCATTTGTCACCCAACATATCCCAATTGTCACCCACCTTATCCCATTTTTCAACCAACGTCTTCAAAAAAGTTCTTTCTTCCCATTTCCCCTTTCCTTACAATCTACCGATCACAACTAGCAGAAACCTTCCTAATGGTGCTCATCTACTGGCGCTTAGCCTATTTCAATCAAAATTTCATTGTATGATGAATCTAAAACTAAAAGAATAATACGAAAAATGTGAAATTTGTCAAATACCAGGCTGGTTCATTTTTATTTTTTTTAAAAACTTTTACACCATTCCTTACACCATTTAAAAAAAAAAAAATGTTTTTGTTGTTTATTTATTTTGTAACTGTTAATTTTTATTGTTTGTATTTTGAATCAGGCTGAGGGTAAGTCTTCGCCACACAGGTCATCTCCAGACGATTCAAACAAAGCCCAGATACCACGGTGAGTGCCCCCCCCCCCACCCCCCCAAACTTGAGGAAACTGTCTATGTCTGTTGTTTATAAAACCAAGAATTGAGATTGACTCTTGTATACATTGAACTGTGGCACACATAAAGTTATTTGGTACACCCTGATTAGTTTTTTCCCCATCTGTATCAGACACTTTGAAAGATTGGCTTCGTAAGGTGCCCCCCACACACACACACACCCACACCAAACCCCACACATGTAGGTATCAGTCATTTTACTCTGGTAGAAAGGGTTTGAACACAACATTGTATGATAAAGCCATTCCTCAACCTGTGGGTCGCGACCCCTTTCTAGTGTCGATCGACCCTTACACAGGGGTCGCCTAAGACCATAGGAAAACACATATTTATGAAGTGGCAATGAAAATAATTTTATGGTTGGGGGTCACCACAACATGAGGAGCTGTATTAAAGGGTCACGGCATTAGGAAGGTTGAGAACCACTAATATAGTAAACATATTGAGCTCATTACCCAAAATATATATGGCACATTGTTCTAGAATAAATTGTCGGCACTGTTAAGAACTTTGCCGTATCTAAAAATGCAAATTAATGGCAGTTCTTCATTGAGACCAGTGCAGATTTACTTCCAAAAAGCTCTGGAGACCAATCATTTACTCAGCAGTCCATTCTGACACTAATAACCATGACCTGAGAGAAGCAATATGATGTCATGAATAAAAACATTATATTACAATCATATGCCACAAAATTGACCAGAAGGTTTTAAGATTTCGTAAATGTTAGTTGAAATCACCAATCACAAGATGAACAGGTAGCTTTAGTGTGACCATCTCGTCAACTTCACCTGGACACGTTCAATATAAGAAATAGAGTTGTGACATCACTGATCTGTGTCATGTTTCTTGTCTTGCTCAGGCCCATCGTCCAGCTGGCCTTAGAGCTGAGCTTGGACATACTGATGTCTCAGGCGTGCAGGTACCTCAGGGATCCATCCCTCATTCCCAGAGACAGACAGTTCCTCAAAAGAGAGCTTGGAACAGAGCTGGTAAGTAGAGATAATCCCCCATTTTAACTATAACTTAATTGTTAGATAAACCATGACCCTCGGGTGCTGATGTTTTTGTCTGTGCCTCTGTTTAGATGTGACAATGGGACACTAAACTGATAGCGCCTGATTATTTGGGGGGGGGGGGGGGGGTGTTGTTCATAAAACTGAAATCAGGCACTTTCTTTTAGACTTTTGAACAAGGGGCTAGTCCATTTCGGGGGCTTGGAGCTTTAAATGAAGCTAGCAAAAGCAGTTGTTGTTTTTTTTATGGGGGGGGGGGGGGTGGTGTTGTTCATAAAACTGAAATCAGGCACTTTCTTTTAGACTTCTGAACAAGGTGCTAGTCCATTTCGGAGGCTTAGAGCTTTAAATGAAGCTAGCAAAAGCAGTTGTTGTTTTTTTTGTAGTAGTAATCTTAGACTGCCCCGGTGGCTCTAACCCTAGCTTCGCCACAGAGCCAAAGTTGAAGCAGCCCCTACACTTAAAGTCCCCTTTATCTAGTCCTTGCATTAGATTTTTTCCACCGAGTCTCATTATTTATCCTCTTCTTGGAAGTAAAACTAAAATAAAAAAAATAAAAAACATTCAATCCTGTTGGCTGCCAAAACCGTCCATTTATGAAACAAATTTCTTTTCACAATAACCAAATTCACTGAGATTGTTTACACTCTTGAAGGTGTTCTTAAGATGACAGACCTGTTTACTCTTACGACTTTGGCGTACAATGTATGATTTTGAGGGGTATACAATATATATATACTGCGCTTTTTTTTTCTATAAAGAGAATGTACTGAACAATTATGTGATGGCATTGTACGATTTTAAGAGTTTGAGGGTAAACAGGTCTGAGATGATATGTTTCAAAGATGTAAGCTGATGTAAGTGCTGTTTAGATCCTTGAAGGTTTCTCTTAAGATGATATGTTTGAAAGATGTAAGCTGATGTAAGTGCTGTTTACATCCTTGAAGGTTTCTCTTAAGATGATATGTTTGAAAGATGTAAGCTGATGTAAGTGCTGTTTACATCCTTGAAGGTTTCTCTTAAGATGATATGTTTGAAAGATGTAAGCTGATGTAAGTGCTGTTTACATCCTTGAAGGTTTCTCTTAAGATGATAAGTTTGAAAGATGTAAGCTGATGTAAGTGCTGTTTACATCCTTGAAGGTTTCTCTTAAGATGATATGTTTGAAAGATGTAAGCTGATGTAAGTGCTGTTTACATCCTTGAAGGTTTCTCTTAAGATGATAAGTTTGAAAGATGTAAGCTGATGTAAGTGCTGTTTACATCCTTGAAGGTTTCTCTTAAGATGATATGTTTGAAAGATGTAAGCTGATGTAAGTGCTGTTTAGATCCTTGAAGGTTTCTCTTAAGATGATATGTTTCGAAGATGTAAGCTGATGTAAGAACCTAGATAAAAAAAATTTTTGCAAGATGAAACAAATATTATTTATGTTTGATGACAAAAAAAAATGTGTTTCATGTTCCAAACACAGAACTCTTGCTTGTCCCCCCTTCATCGCCAGCTGAAAAGAGGTGCTGGAGATAGGTCATTATCCCTCACACCCCCACACCACACACAGCCTTCAGCTCCAGGTTAGTTCAACAAACATTCTTTTCTACCCGCCACTGCTCACCCAATGGCACACGGAGAATTTAGATATTTTAATGTGTTTGCATATAAAGTACATGTGAGTTCATATGCATTGAAATTATAACTCATGTCACAATGAGATTATAACTCACAAAAAAAAAAAAAAAAAAGCTTGCACAAAAATATTATTTCATTGATTAATTTATTAAAATGTGGTAACTTTCAGCCTTCTGACATACCATACTTTAAATTTATTATTGGATAGTTCATTTACTTGGACTAAATTTTTCTCATAGCCAACTCTTCCTTCTCATAGCTAAATCTTACTTCTCATAGCTAAATCTTCCTGCTCATAGCCGAATCTTGCTTCTCATAGCTAAAGCTAGCTTGCGAGAGCCAAATCTTGCTTCTCAGAGCCAAATCTTGCTCAACCTTGCAAACCAAAAACTTACAAGTTTAATCAATTTTTTTTTTCTTTTCCCCTTCAGCGAGTCTGACAGTGGTATCAACTGCCACCACATCTGGCGCAGGTTTAACAGCATCATCTCTGAGCGCGCTCACCCCTGTCGGCACCCCTGGCACACCACAGAGTGGGAGCCGTCTGACCCCTCAGCTCAGTCGTTCGGCCTCCCTGACTTCGGTGGGATCCCAGGAACCGACCTACTTTAAACTTGTCCAGGCCTTTGTCCAGAAAGTTTTAAAATAATGTCAGTTGATCAAAACATTTTAGTATTCAAGGAGACATTGCTGCAACCGTTTGCTTGCCATGCTTTTAAATAACAGAGGAGGCTGGTCTGTTTAGCATTTGACTTCATCGGAAATTTTAAGTGAAATATTAGATTGTTGTGGAATTGCAATGAATTGTTGTAAATTTATAAGAAGATGTACAGGTCAAATAAAATTTAAGTACTGAAAACACTCATCGTCTTATTGTAGCTGGGTGCCACTAACATGCATTGTAGAGGAAGTTCATGAAAAACAAATATTCCTGGCATTCAAGCTCATAGAAGAACAGAAGCGTCATCAAACCCAGCCCCAATCCTACATTGAATACTGTAAATAATGTTTTCTTGAACACCAATCAAAGCTGTAAATGTTCAATAGAATATATGATTTTTATTCAATAACATTTGGGTAAATATTTTGTCTGCTTCAAAGTTCATAAACATCCTGATTGAGACAATAACTCTAGGGATAAGGATAGCATTAGACTTTATTATACTTTTCTTGCTGTTTTTTATACCGGAACTTCAATTTTTTTTAAAATTTCCCGCTGTAAATAAGTATCATCAGGCTACAATAGTTATGGTTCCATAGTACAAAAACATTCATACTGCCACAATACTAATACCCCCATGCTAACTGCTTTTAAACTGAAAAAAATTTTAAAAGCTTGGACAAGAACACACTTATGGGGAACTGCAAGGATATGTTTATATTTTGAATGTGTGAAGGAATGGTGAGTTTGTTGGATTGCTAGAATGGTTGCCTTTGATGGATCAGACTGCACTACAGTGAAGCACAAATGGAGATGATAGAATGAAAGGAGAATGACAGAAGATAATGGCAGGGCAAACATTGATATAAGAGTATAAAAAGTGAGGATGATAACCAAAAAAGTAAATTGTGTGAACGAGAGGACGGATGAAGATGGCGCGTACATACCAATGACATCTGTGCACTGTTGCTGGTTTTTGTTTTTTTTCCTAATGTCATGTTACAAAACAATAAAGATGTTATTTTCAAACTTCATTTACTTTATTTAATTATTTTCTTATGGGGAAAGGCGCCACACCCTCCGCCCCTCCCCCGTTGATTAAATTTTTAAAATTGTACATTGAGCCGAAAAACATATCGCACCGGTGAATTGTGCACCGTCGCTACATTGCCCTGATGAAGAAAAGAGCACCGTGCAGCACCGCAACATAACGAATTCTCAGCTGCTGGTGACTTCCGGAGGGGAATCCAACCATTTGAGTGGTATGTGTTGACATAGTACAAAGCTTGTTTAAAAACGGATTGTCACGAGTGCGCAAACATAGAAGTAAAGTAAAAACACCCTCTATGGTTCCACGCCAATTTACATGTAATACGTCAGTGTAACTTCATGAAAGCTCATGGGCTCAGCTCTCATTTCCACGTCTCACGTTAGATTTTTACGCCAAAGTTAAATCATTTAATTTTTCATAACCAGTTGCCTAATTTTAGAAACGGATCAGTCAACCAACTGTCAGTTTTGTGTGTGTGGGGGGGGGGGTGGATATGGGATGCCCAATTGCATGGATAGGTCATTATGTAGATGGAAAAAAATTATAGAACACTCTTTTCCGCTATACTATAATAATAATTAGTGGTCTTATACTTAAATAGCGCGGTACCCCAGCCTAGGGCTGAGCTCACCGCACTGTACATAAAAATATTAGCAAAAGAGACATAATCATGACATTAAAATAAATTACATTTATGAAATAAAGAACAGCGAGTAACCAAAACAACAAAAACAAATGTATATTCACCCACCTCACCCCCCAGAACTTTTACATGGCAAGCCATGGACGGCAGCCAGCAGGATCGTTTATGGGTCAGAGGAGGGGAATCAGTCAGGGTAGTATAGTTTAAAGAGATGTGTTTTGAGTGCAGCTTTGAAGGCCTGGGTGGTTGGTATATTACGGATGTGTAGTGGCAAAGAATTCCATTGTTTGGGGGCGCAGAAAGAGAAAGATCGTTCACCATATGTTTTAGAGTGTGTCTTGGGAACGGAAAGAATACGCGTGTCTCCATATTATTATCCTTATGACAACAAAAAAAAATAAGTAGAGTGATATACACGAACTACACACAAAGAACTAAAAATTACAGCGCCCCCTATCAACAAAGCGAGTACCCTTTATTTCCCAATAGCATTGCGCCATTGTCAGAACGCTACAAAAGAAAGAATTACAGCACCCCCTAATAACCAAGGAGAGTACTCATTAGTATCCAACAGCACTGCGGCATCATCAGTATGCAGCATCAATCTTAATATGACGTCGAAATGTTGGTTTTTTTTTGTTTTTTGTTTTTTTTAAGGAGAGCGTTGGGTAAAGGGATTCTCATGTTAGCTTGAGTGGACCTTTAAGTCGTTTATTTACTTATCACAATACGGGGCGTCCATAAGTGCGTCACGCTTTGGTGAAAAAAAAAAAAAGGGGGGGGGGGGATCCAAGAAAGCGTGACAGTTTGTGACACGGGGGAAGGGGGTAAAGATATTTTGTGACGTAACACATGCTATATTAAAAAATAAAACCTAAAATTGACAAGCGATGTTAAACTTTCTTTTGTTATAGATCTAGATGTTTTCTGACAGGTTTCACTTTTATGCATTTAATAGCTAAACAGAAAGTGTTTTTAACATTATATTTTAATTGTTAAACAATATTTTAATTCGAAAGACTGACGTACTTTGGAGGAAGGGCACCCGGAAGTTTTGACCGGGGGGGGGGGGGTTAAATTTTCCCAAACTAGCTTCAAGTACTTGGCCCCATAAAGTAAAAAAAAACATCAAAGTGCCCTCCTGGACCCAACTTATGACTGACATACACAAACATTTTCGTCTTCACTATCACACTGATAACACATTCTATTGCAGCCAGGGTTTCTTTCAGCAAAATTTTACAGCCCACAAACACACACTAACATGAAAATTTTCTGCGTGGATACTCAAAACTGCTGCGCGGTGTCTGTGAGTTAGCTGCGCGGCCGCGCAGCTTAAAGGGAACATTAGCTACATCTTCACCAGACCGTATAGCTACATCTCCACCAGACCTTATAGCTACACCTCCACCAGACCTTATAGCTACATCTCCACCAGAATTTATAGCTACATCTCCACCAGACCTTATAGCTACACCTCCACCAGACCTTATAGCTACATCTCCACCAGACCTAATAGCTACACCTCCACCAGACCTTATAGCTACACCTCCACCAGACCTTATAGCTACATCTCCACCAGACCTTATAGCTACACCTCCACCAGACCTTATAGCTATGCCTCCACCAGACCTTATAAGCTTCATCTTCACCAGACAACGTGTATGCCCATTCAGCTGCAAGCTACCAGGAACCATGTCTAGACAGCTGCACTTTGCGCGCTCTCTGCTGACCAACATGAAATCCGATCGAGGCCTCACATGGCGTGTGGCTCCCTTGGCCAACCAGAAGAGGGGCTTTTCAGGCACCCCGGGAGACGGCTCGGGCAAAGGCGGCGGCGGTGGGGGTGCAATTAGAAGCGCCGGGGGCGGCTTGGGAAAACGAGCGGTAGGTGTTTAATCTTATAATTAAATGTAACCAAACTGGCAAGTCGTTTTCATATCATGTCCTATGTACAGCAGGCAGTGATATCAAGAGAGAATGCACAGCAGGCAGTGATATCAAGAGAGAATGCACAGCAGGCAGTGATATCAAGAGAGAATGCACAGCAGGCAGTGATATCAAGAGAGAATGCACAGCAGGCAGTGATATCAAGAGAGAAGAACAAAATCGATAAAGTTTCAAACGAAGCGGTCGATGAGGAAAGTTTTCTCATATTTGTGATGTGTTAAAATTTGTTACAATGATTGACCATTGTATTTTTTCTTTAGATCAGTGGTTCTCAACCTGTATGTCCGAGACCCCTCTGGGGGGAATGGGGGGGGGGGGGGGTGGTGGAACGCCCTTTACACAGGGGCCACTTAAGTCCATCGGAAAACCCATTGTCATGATTTTTTCTTTAGATCAGTGGTTCTCAACCTGTATGTCCGAGACCCCTCTGGGGGGAAGGGGGGGGGGGGTGGGTGGTCGAACGACCTTTACACAGGGGTCACTTAAGTCCATCGGAAAACACATTGTCATGAAGTGGCGACGAAAATAATGTCAATGGTTATGGGTCACCACAACATCAGGAACTGTATTAAAGGCCCTCGGTACTAGGAAGGGTGAGAACCCATGCTTCAGATTCTCCAAACACGGGCTGCGTCTTGTGGGAAGAGGTCAAAGTGACCTAAATGAACCTCGCGAGACGCACACTTACCTTGTACCTGTTACAAGCGTAAGGAAAGAAGATGACGTGACTTAGAAACATCTATCTCACAATTTTGATGTGGCGCGTGCATTCTTAACTTTGATCTTTATTTGAGTCAGACAGTACTCATTCGATCATTCATTCCGTCATTCATTCCATCATTCATTCGATCATTCATTCCATCATTCCATCGATCATTCATCTGTCATTAGTTTTTCACCGTTCTTCATGTGTAATTAAGGTAGAAAAAAACTTATAACAATAAAAAAAAAATAACATGCACAATATGCGTTGCTTGGATATGACATGTAGTATATCTGTTGATTTGATATAACATGTAGTATATCTGTTGATTCCAGATAACATGAACTATTTTTGCTGATTCGACATAGCATGTACGATACATATACGTTGATTCGATATAACATGTACTGTATACGTTCATTAGAAACACATTGATGATTATTTTTTATATTGGATGTTTAAAGTATCCATTCCCTGACACAGCCCCCAACCCCTTTTTTTAACGCTGTATCCAAATCGCTGGGAGTCGATTCTCCCTTGGAAATCCCAGATCTGTACGTCTTAATCTCTAGGGATCGGTAATTATTTACTGCATAATCATTTCGCTCCGTTTCTCATATTTGGGATACGCTTTAGTCAGCAAACTATCCCATCTCATCCCTATGACGTAATAAGTTATCCTTTAAACACCTGAGGACAGAAATGTATTAATTTACTGGACTGCTCTTACGAGACTTTTTTTTTTCCCACTGAAGGCCACCCAAGAGGAGAAATATTTCCACGACGAAGAGCTGCGTCAGTTGAGGAAGATGAAGGAGAAGATGCTGGAGAACTACAGGCTGGAGATGAGCTTTCACGAGAAGCAGCTGATGTCTCACAAGGACAGTCTGAAGATGCACCAGGAGCTGCTGAAGAGGTGAGTCTAGAGTGCCGGCGGTGGGGGATCACGGCTGGCAAAGGCGTAACTAAATGGGGAGGGGGTTTGGAGAATGGTGCAGCCAGCCATTCATTATAGGTATACACCGAAAAAGGTGGGGGGGGGTTGTAATTCAGCTTCCGTGGCCGTGAGTCTAAATAATGACTACAGCAACTCTGTAAACGTCATTGCAAAATAACTAATTCTTTTTTCTTTTTTTTTAAATTTTTTTTCCCATGGCAAAGGCGTAACTAAATGGGGAGGGGGTTTGGAGAATGGTGCAGCCAGCCATTCATTATAGGTATACACCGAAAAAGGTGGGGGGGGGGGTTGTAATTCAGCTTCCGTGGCCGTGAGTCTAAATAATGACTACAGCAACTCTGTAAACGTCATTGCAAAATAACTAATTCTTTTTTCTTTTTTTTTAAATTTTTTTTCCCCTTTTTTCTGAAGGGGTTTGGGGGGGGGGTGACACTCTCCGACACAAATCGTTATCAAGTAATTGATTGTTTAACATAATTCCATTCCCTGTAGGGAAGGCAACAAGGATTCGATACAGGAGAAGATCGTGGAACACGAGCAAGGGTTGAGGAAAGAGGAGCTGGCTATCAAGGACATTCAAGAAATGATGAAGAAATTGGAACAGTGACCGCCCCCCCCCCCCTTTTTTTTTTCGATTCTTAAAATTTTCTGCAGTTGCTGGGTTTTTTTTTTTTGGCGGTGCTTTGCAATTTGTGAAGGTAGTTTTACCGCAAAAGATGTGCACTGATTGATTGTAGCCCTGATTGTGTGTTCTTGATGTTTGTACTCTGGCAGTGATTGGTATATGTCCATGTCGTTGAAAGATGTCCATGTCGTTGGCAGATGTCCATGCGATTGGCAGATTTCCATGTCGTTGAAAGATGTCCATGTCGTTGGCAGATGTCCATGTGATTGGCAGATTTCCATCTCGTTGAAAGATGTCCATGTTGTTGGCAGATGTCCACGTCGTTGGCAGATGTACATAAGTCATTTAGTTGCTAATTGTCACCAAATTTTGTCGCCCACCAGATGCTGGTACCAGATGCGACCATCTAATATTTTGAAACGGATGCTAATAAAATAAAATAACAAAAGAATTATATATTAGACGCCATTCCTGGCTCAGTCATTTTGTGGGGGAAATTAACTTTGGGGATTGTGGAAGTGAAGCTAAAATTTTAAACAACATATTTTCAATTTAAAAGATTATTAATCTGGAAATTCTAAAAGTAAACTTTTCTATTTGGTATCTTTCCTGTTAAGTTTAGAACTCATTTAGATTGATTTATTATGGTGGGGGAGAGAAAGATATATAGGCCTATAGAGAGAGATTCAGAGACAGAGAGAGGAGGGGGGCATGCGGACCTTATATCGATGAATTGTTAATTATTACTTTCTTTAAATCTCATATTTTAAATTGATTCGTTTTAATTTTAATTCAGTTTTTTTTCAGTTTAAAAAAAATAAAAAATAAAATCAATTGAATATTTTAGATATTTAAAAAAAAAATATTTAAAAAATAATAAATACAAATCGCATTAAGCAATCCATCCAGGTCTTACCGTATTGTTATTTTAACTGTGTGAAATCACCTGGTCTGTGAATGTGCGAGTGTCGCGAAGAGCCACGAGCCCTCCACCCGATCGGTGCAATAAAGCAGTACCTGCCTCGTCCCTTACACAAAGTCTTAATCTGGTCGTTCGTTACTGATGTTACGAGAATACAGCTATAATCACTCACTAAGGAGTGTCTGGCTTAATGACACATCTTAAATCGTGTGTTCAATCGTGCGTTCAATTGCGTTTTCAATCATGTGTTCAATCGTATGTTGAGTCGTGTATTTAATCTGGTGTGCAATCGTGTGTTCAGTCGTATGTTGAATCGTGTATTTAATCTGGTGTGCAATCGTGTGTTCAGTCGTATGTTCAGTCGTGCTTTCAGTCGTGTGATCAGTCGTGTGTTGTTGTTATTGCTTGTAAACAAGACGAAGCAACGACACGTTGAGGTGGTTAAAAGATTACGGGATTTGAACATCACACATGTAGGACATTGAAATGTTTGATTGACAGACACAGGAAAAAAATTAACAAACTACAATCCGTAGCAATAGTAATATGATTGGGCGAGAAGAAATTTAAACATAGTAATATGATTGGTCGAGATGAGAGTTAACCGTAGTAATATGATTGGTCGAGATGAGAGTTAACCGTAGTAATATGATTGGTCGAGATGAGAGTTAATCGTAGTAATATGATTGGTCGAGATGAGAGTTAACCGTAGTAATATGATTGGTCGAGATGAGAGTTAACCGTAGTAATATGATTGGTCGAGATGAGAGTTAAACATAGTAATATGATTGGTCGAGATGAGAGTTAACCGTAGTAATATGATTGGTCGAGATGAGAGTTAAACATAGTAATATGATTGGTGGAGATGAAAGTTAAACATAGTACGGTAATATGATTGGTCGAAATGAAAGTTAAACTTAGTAATATGATTGATCGAGGTGAATGTAAAACTGAAGATAAAACAGTTGTTTTTTATCAGGTGTGGGGGGAGGGGGGACAATGGCAATTTTAATTGTATAGAGTTTGCACACATCTTATTAGCATTAACCTATGTGAGAGGCCATATTTGAACCTGTCTATGTGAGAGGCTATATTTGAACCTGTCTATGTGAGAGGCTATATTTAAACCTGTCTATGTGAGAGGCTATATTTGAACCTGTCTATGTGAGAGGCTTTCTCTGACCCTGTCTATGTGAGAGGCTATTTCTGAACCTGCCTATATGAGAGGCTATTTCTGAACCTGCCTGTATGAGAGGCAATTTCTGAACCTGTCTGTATGAGAGGCTATTTCTGAACCTGTCTGTATGAGAGGCTATTTCTGAACCTGTCTAGGTGAGAGGCTATCTCTGAGTCTGCCTGGACAAATCAAGCAGCAAGAGACTTAAAATAACTTTAAAACACGTTGCTTGTTGGTGAAAATGTGTAGTTAGAGTGATTCACTTATTTACCCTTTTGGCTGGATGGGGTTTGAGGGGGAAAGGGGGTGTCAGTGGCGTAGTTAGGGTAAGTGCCACCCGGGACTGGCCAAGATTGTTGTTGACCCCGCCCCCGAAAAAACTCTGCAGTTGGTCGAAAAATGACGTCCCTTAATATATAGAAGAAAAAAAAAAGTGCCTCTGGAGTCGACCGGCCTTCCCACCACCCACCCCCACCCCATTTTCCTCCTGTAGTGGGTGTTGTCCGTTCAGCCATCATTGTTGGGCTACTGGTTCAGGTTTCGGTCACATTGAACATGACCTTCAAAATATCAGGGAGTCAGCCTCCCCCCCTCGACGCACAAACTATCACAAGGTTACGTCATTTGACCAGGATCATCAAGGTTTTTTGTTTTTTTTTTTTTTTTTTTTTTTTTTTTAAATAATAAATTGGCGTAGAGATCAGATATATGTTTCATTACTTACTAAAAAATCCTGATGGCTGTTTATAATACTTATAACAAAAACATAACAAAATAGTTCAATACAAAATTCCTCTTATTTCCCCTCAAAAGATCCTCGCGGGATATCACCAACACTCGAACCAGTTCACAGTACAAAACAAAAAAAAAATAACAAAACAAAACAAAAATGTTCTCAAATTTCTCGTGAGTTGTCTTCACGTTGTTCAAAAATATGTTTTTCTATTTTAGTTGCCGGTTTGCACACTAAAATAAATCACTCTCCAAATATTCACGATATAACGAATTAATTGTATATACCGGTAGTTGGTCTATGTTGATTTTAATTATCCCATCGTCAGAAACATCTGTCCCAGCAAATGTGTACATGAAAATAAAATATGTTCTCATGTTTACATTCAAAATTGGTTTCTGATCAAAGTGACGTTTAATTTTCACATCTAACGTAATTGCGTTCGCCTTAACTCAAACTTCATTCGTGTATTTCAAAAAAAAATATATATATTTACACCGAAACACCAAGAACATAACTGGCCACTTGATAGCAGACGATTATAAAGGTATTCGGGGGGTCATCGTTTTCTGCTTATAGCTGTGCAATTAACTACGGCTAAGAAGAAGGGTCAAGCGGATCGAGAGACATGCCATGAGGATAACTTATTAAATACACTCGGCGGAGAGAGCATGCGATATTGTGACAACTCATGACAGCAATGGCTGGAGCTGTACTAGGTGAGTAATAGCTTCATTTTTTTTTTTTAAAGCAAAATGAAAATGAAGTTATTTTTTAATAATTTCGCCAGAGAGCACACGAATTTTTTTTTTTTCATTCTAACATTGTTGCTCTTCTTCCGTGGAATTGTAAGACTAACATTGTTGCTCTTCTTCCGTGGAATTATAAGACTAACATAGTTGCTCTTCTTCCGTGGAATTGTAAGACTAACATAGTTGCTCTTCTTCCGTGGAATTGTAAGACTAACATAGTTGCTCTTCTTCCGTGGAATTGTAAGACTAACATAGTTGCTCTTTTTCCGTGGAATTGTAAGACTAACATTGTTGCTCTTCTTCCGTGGAATTGTAAGACTAACATTGTTGCTCTTCTTCCATGGAATTGTAAGACTAACATAGTTGCTCTTTTTCCGTGGAATTGTAAGACTAACATAGTTGCTCTTTTTCCGTGGAATTGTAAGACTAACATAGTTGCTCTTTTTCCGTGGAATTGTAAGACTAACATAGTTGCTCTTTTTCCGTGAAATTGTAAGACTAACATTGTTGCTCTTTTTCCGTGGAATTGTAAGACTAACATTGTTGCTTTTCTTCCGTGGAATTGTAAGACTAACATTGTTGCTCTTTTTCCGTGGAATTGTAAGACTAACATAGTTGCTCTTTTTCCGTGGAATTGTAAGACTAACATAGTTGCTCTTTTTCCGTGGAATTGTAAGACTAACATAATTGCTCTTTTTCCGTGGAATTGTAAGACTAACTTTGTTGCTCTTTTTCCGTGGAATTGTAAGACTAACATTGTTGCTTTTCTTCCGTGGAATTGTAAGACTAACATTGTTGCTCTTTTTCCGTGGAATTGTAAGACTAACATAGTTGCTCTTTTTCCGTGGAATTGTAAGACTAACATAATTGCTCTTTCTCCGTGGAATTGTAAGACTAACATAGTTGCTCTTCTTCCGTGGAATTGTAAGACTAACATTGTTGCTTTTCTTCCGTGGAATTGTAAGACTAACATAGTTGCTCTTTTTCCGTGGAATTGTAAGACTAACATAGTTGCTCTTTTTCCGTGGAATTGTAAGACTAACATAGTTGCTCTTTTTCCGTGTAATTGTAAGACTAACATAGTTGCTCTTTTTCCGTGTAATTGTAAGACTAACATTGTTGCTCTTTTTCCGTGTAATTGTAAGACTAACATTGTTGCTCTTCTTCCGTGGAATTGTAAGACTAACATAGTTGCTCTTCTTCCGTGGAATTGTAAGACTAACATTGTTGCTCTTCTTCCGTGGAATTGTAAGACTAACATAGTTGCTCTTCTTCCGTGGAATTGTAAGACTAACATTGTTGCTTTTCTTCCGTGGAATTGTAAGACTAACATTTTTGCTCTTCTTCCGTGGAATTGTAAGAACTATCTTTATTTTAAGAATAATAACGTACGCGTTGCCGGACGTAAAATGTTTTGTAAATATGTCACGATTTTCAAGTGGAACCTTGCCTTTTTTTTTTTTTTTTTTTTTTTGTAAAGTCCCCTTTTTGCTTATGTCCCTTTTATTTTATTTTTTTTTTTTTTTTTTTTTTTTTTTTTTCTTTTTTTTTTTTTTTTTTTTTTTTTTTTTTTTTGGAAAGTCCCCTATTTGCGTATGTCCCATTTATTTTCCACGATGATTCGACGATTACTGATGATTATCTAAATTTACAGGTCCACAATTCGAGGCAGACTTACAGTGCCCTACGATGAACTTCGGGGAGTCTCCGTTCAGAACACGAGAACCTTACGAGTCATCGAGATCGACACGGGCTTCAAGCAACCCCAACACGTCGCCAGGCGACACCAAAACAACCAAGACGAAAGGCCGGGCTTCTGACGTCATCTCGGCTTTCCTCAACCTTTTTCAAAACCACGAGAAAAAATCAGCCTGCAACAAAATAACCGACTCGATTAAAACCAAGGCGAATCAGTCGGACTTTATATTTTCCGTGCAGTCGAGCGATCTGAGCTTCGCGGGCAACTCCGCCGGGAAGTCCCAAAAGGGTCTTTCAAAATCGTGGTCTCATTTTATCCACGATCCGTTCGGTGAGCTCAAAGATGGCGATGAAGACAACATATTTTACAACGAAAGTTACTTCGAAGACGACTATCTCCAAGACTACCGCGATCACATGTTTGAAGGCGAGTTGGGAAGCGCGAGGAGTCCAGCTCTGCCCGGCATCCGCATGGGCGTTTCCTCGCTGCGGTGGAACGCTCACAACGTCGCGGAGGAGGAGTTTGAAGGATCGTGCACCGCCTTCAGCAGGAACAGCGCCTCTAGGAAAGCTTCGAGAAAGAAGCACTTTTCGATGCCGGATATTTCTTCTGTGAGCAAATTCACAATGTGCTCCGAGGAAACTCAGACCGAGGAGTCCTTCCTCGAGACCCCGCTCGAGAGTCTGATATCGTGCGACCCACATCTGGGCTTGAACATTGCTTTTGACTCCACGCTGGACGACAGCCACGTAGACTTCTTTGAAGTTAACGACGAAACGGCCGACAAAAACTCTGAGAGCTCCTTTAAAATGTTTGTCCCTGAGAGTTTCTACACAGTGGTTTCAAATAACGAAGCTTCCGTGATCAGTCACGCAGACGACCAGTACTTCTCCATCAGCAATGCACAAATAACACCAGATAACTTTTCTGAATCTCGGACTCCATTTTCAATTTCAGCCAACGATAACATGGGCCGTGCGCGCGGTGGCTACATTGAGACGTACTCTGAATGCCAGGCCTCTGATTTCAAAGTAGAATGTTTTGTAACGGATCAAGGCAACTCATCGAATGACGACGAAGTGTTCTCAAAATCACTCCCTTTGAAGACCCCCAGCCTTGACCTCCTCTCCATCCCATCGTCCTCGGACACGGATAACAAAGCCACGCCCAGCGAGGGACATTTAATCACATCGCCGAACATCACCAAAACTCCAACGCACAGGCGAAGTACCGAATCCGGCTATGACAGCTGTGAACGATCGGGAGGGTCTTCTCAAGCGGTTGAGGACCCGTCGTCAAATTTACCTTCTCAAACCTCCCCAGAGACGGACACACCTTCTGCACCATCGTCAAACACATTTCCAACAGAAGTGGATGAATTTGACGACATTCGGTCTCCGGCGTTGGACACCAGCTTAAATTATAAAACTTTTCCAGACCTCAAAAATTCTCCACTATATAAATCGATTTCTGAGACTCGGGAATCAAATTCTGATGAGCTTTATCAAGAAGAAACCTCGAGTAACCCTATTGAAAAGAACCAGGGAGACCTTGCTCATTCAATATCCCTCGCGTGCAATAGGTTTGAGACTTTGGTAACAACTGTAGAAGTTGGTCCCATCATTTTAAAACCATTTACAGATCTTGGAAGAGATTCACCAGAGACAAGTCGCAATCCGCTGGACTTCAAATCTACCGGAAGTCATGAGTTTGATCAGAAAGATAACGTTATGGAAACTTCAACCATTCCACAGCTGCCAATAAACCCAACGTTTAGCCATCCATACTATAATTGCATATCATCGCCACAATCTACAACTCTGGCACCCCTGTCTACAAGCTCGCCGCTTCTTCGGAGCAAGTCTCCGCCAGAGACCACTCGCTTCGCGTCCCCACGTTTTGTGTCGCCCGTACGGCGCAATCTTTCGTCGACTCCTAGCAGCCTGTTGTGCCTCAGGAGAATGCGTCGAAGAAAAACACGTGACGCCATGGGTTCCTTCAGGTCGAGCCCGCGAACGTCTGAGTGTGACGCGAGCCACGCGTTCCGGTTAACGGATGTCAGCAGCGATGAGGAGATAGAAGTGATCAGTCCGGCGAGTCGCGATTACATTCTTCTGAAACGTGCCGCGGACAGCATCGTCCACACGTTGCCTCCGCTCCCCGACATCAAGGCTCAGGTAAACACAGCACGGCTGATTGAATACTTGAATCTCTTTTACATGCACGAAGTATACCAAATAGCCAACTCGGCCGTCCGCTCGGTGACGGATCTAAAACATTTCAAACACGAGTCTTGTGCGGTCTTCCGTTCTGAGCGCCTCACCGTTGAAAACTGTATCCCTGAACTCCTCCTCGCCATTTTAGTCAACAAGCCGGCAGTCGTCAATGCGTGCAGGGATTACGTTTTTGAAAACTTGCACGCCGTGGCGACGAGATGCGCAGAGTTCTGCCAAGCCCCTCCTGAAGTCGTCGTCATGCTGCTCAGCAATACCCGCGCCATTGTTCTAGGCCCACGGGGGTTCCCGTTGGGCTACAGGGAATCCGAGAGAGAGGTGCTGCGTGCCGTGGTTAAATATATGGACTTCAACAAATCTGGCGACATGATCAAGGACAGGCTTCTGAAACGCATGCTGCTGTCTGTAGTCGACCCCAGAGTCCACAAAGCGATAGCCACCGGTAGGCAACTTTTCTGCGATTCCAGCAAAGGAAATTCAGGGCTTGGAAGCGGTGTCTTCGCCAGACCTTACCATGACATCGCGTACGAGTGGACTGATAAACTTGTGACCGCCTCCAACACGAGGCAAGAGTACCTCTTCCAGCCGTTCTTGTCCAACGCCGTCTCCAGCTATCCTTCCACCAGCCACGAACCGGAAGTGGAGCAGCCGAAAATAGATGAGGTGGCTGGTGTTTGCGACGGTTCTCACGCATTGCGTAAGCTTTACTTCTCCTACAAACGCCACAACAAGGTGCCGTACATCACGCGGATTGGCCTGCAGTACATGCACAAGGGGGTCACCAAAACCTACAGCTTTGGTGAGGACCCGGAGCCCGTGCGAGCCGGTTGGCTTGACAACGGCCTGGACTTGAATAGGTACATTATAAATAAGTTTAATTTGGAAGATTCTACCGACCAGTTTAATAGCACTGGTCAAAGTTTGCGGGACGATGGGCAGACGACCAGGGCGGCTAGTAACCACAAAATGACCGCCGTTAAATTGGCGTCTGGAGAACACGTGACCGGCGTGGCATTGCAAGGAGATGCAGGTAATTCTAGGTAGATTTCTCTTGATGCTTCAGTGTGAATTAATTTCGCTAATAGTTGTGAAAATTTCATATTGTTATCTTTTTCTTTGTTTAAAAAAAAAAAAAGAGCTTATTGCATTTAGAATTGGTTTTAAAGGTTAACTGAAGCAGTCCTCACAATGCTGGAGTAATTAAAAGAATTAGATGTTGAATGAATTTTCTTATAAAAACCTTGTATTAAATTTTTCACATTTCTCGACAGTTCTTCACAATGTCCAGATAGCAACCAACAAGGGGAGGCAGATCAGGGCTCATAATGAAGACTCTGCCACCTGCGGCCCTTGGACCCACATCCAGCCCCCAAGTGACGCCACTACGTACTGCCTGCACGCGCTCTATGCCGACGTGAAGGCGCCGTCCAGCAGATCCTACCTTCGAGACATCGGGGCTGTGTGGGCCGTCCTGTCTCGCCCCCTCAACAACCTGGGCATCTGACAGTGGGTGTGATCCACGCGTGTAAGATTGACATTGTATAAGATTGACATTGTGTAAGATTGACATTGTATCATCAAAACGTTTTTAGAAGCTATTATTTTGTAATATTTTAATTGTATAAGACAGCACGCGACGTTGAAATAATTTTTTTTTTTGTATTGGTGCTAAAGTTTTGAGCTTAGCGAGTCCATATGGTGACGTCTACATCAACAATCTTAACTTTATTTTTTCATTAGCATTCACAACAGCCCTCCAAAGCACAAACGTTTTTTTGCACTAACACATGAAAATTTTCACAAAATCGGTTTAAAAAATCTGAACGGTAAAAATAGGTCGGCACGAAATCTTCACATCACATTAATAACATACAATTTAAGACATCTGCACGAATCCCATTTTTTTTATATAGGAGGCTTAGCCAAGAAACCGAACCGAACCAAAAATATACTGGGACTGTCTTCTGTATAAAAGAGGTATTCGAGCAGACGTTTAGAGAACATTTACGCTCAAGCAACACACACCAAATTCCACGGACAATACTGTTAGCTTTGTTTGCCACATAGAGCAATCGGTATGGACTCGGGTTAGCATTGTTCGCCACGTAGCAAGCTTGTTTTAAAAAAATGTAAATGTCTCCAAGATATTGTATATGACTGTGCATAATATATTTATTAACTTAGGAATTTTTTTTTTTTTAAATACAGATTTCTTAGTGGGATTAAATTTTATCTTGTAACAAAGCAGTTCGCTGATTTTCCTTATTAATTTACAGGTTAGCTATGCATTCTAGATTAATGTACCGTACTGTCACTGACAATAATTGTAACAATCATTGCAACAATCCTTGTAACAATCTCCGAGTGACAGCAGTTCCATGACACAAGCATTCGCATGTTAGTGTGGAATTTTTTTTTACAGCATGGACTTTGCGACCGACTACGCGGACTTTGCGACCGACTGCGCGGACTTTGCGACCGACTGCGCGGACTTTGCGACCGACTGCGCGGACTTTGCGACAACTATTGTTAAGCTCATTCATCCATAGGACGGTTTCATCTTTTAAGCCTGCAGCTCAGCCCACGTCACAAATTCTCGTTTATAAACCTACCCGTTGCCAGATTCGTAGTACGTGACGGAATAAGTTATTTTAACACTGGCCAGTCCGAGTTTTTGTTTTGTTTGTTCCTTGTTACTTAAACCTTGTACCTTTCCTCGACCAGAAGTCTTAGTTACATTTTGAATCCTCACGTTCTCTGTCTTGGCTGTTTTCAGCACAGAAAAAATGGGATATTGCATGAACAGTGACGTTTTGGCTACCCTTGTATTAGGCACTCTTTCACCACAGCAACCCCCCCCCCACACCCCTGTTTCTTACGGACCTACTTAGTAGTACAGATAAAATATTTTCATAAGAAGTATCACTCCTATCATTTGAACACGTGTATCACTTCACAACGCGGCCAACATTTGACTTAAGTCATCTTCTCTAGCGCTGTCTTCTCTAGCGCTGTCTTCTCTAGCGCTGTCTTCTCTAGCGCTGTCTTCTCTAGCGCTGTCTTCTCTAGCGCTGTCTTCTCTAGCGCTGTCTTCTCTAGCGCTGTCTTCTCTAGCGCTGTCTTCTCTAGCGCTGTCTTCTCTAGCGCTGTCTTCTCTAGCGCTGTCTTCTCTAGCTCTGTCTTCTCTAGCTCTGTCTTCTCTAGCTCTGTCTTCTCTAGCTCTGTCTTCTCTAGCTCTGCCTTCTCTAGCTCTGCCTTCTCTAGCTCTGCCTTCTCTAGCTCTGCCTTCTCTAGCTCTGCCTTCTCTAGCTCTGCCTTCTCTAGCTCTGCCTTCTCTAGCTCTGCCTTCTCTAGCTCTGCCTTCTC